GAAACGTATGGGAACCGACGACTCGACGCTGATTAGAGTGGTCGTCACCAGGGCCGAGCAGGATATGCAGTACATCAAGGCGGATTTCTACCAAAAGTACAAGAAGCCATTAGAATCAATGATCTCGGGTGACACTTCTGGAAACTACAGACACTTCCTGCTCAGCCTCGTCGGGGGGCACTGACAAGTCAATAGCCTGTAAATACATAGTGCGTGAATGGGATTTTTTTCTTCCAGAAAGTAACACGTAGGACAAAAAGTTCGTAGAATAGAACACAGCCAAGATTCTCGGTCACCAGACACTGTAAGATCTTTTTCCGAGAAGCTGGTGCTCGAGAGGCGTGAGCCACGCTGATGTAAGTTTCCAGATTGTGAACAGTACCATCTACAGCACAACATTCTCGTTATGTCTTTGTACCTTGTCATCGTAATCTGACACAGCAGACATTCTCCTCGATTGGAATTGGATCGATCGATCGAGTTGGAATTGGAATCCCGCTCTAGATTTTGTGTATAATGGACAACAAAAGGAATCTAATTCCGGTCGGCTAAACAAGGTTTTGGAAAAGCATATTCCATTTTACAAAAATCCTATACAGCCCATTTCCTTCACTCTACTTTCTTCACGGTTTGGTTCCTCTTGACGAGCCTTGACGTTCTCGCGACGGCGTCGTCCTTGACAAAGCTCCACCAGAGAAAAGTGAGAGGGATCGTCCCCAAATGCCACAGCGAGTGAGCATCAAACTGGCCTCCCAGCGGCGGAAAATCGTATAGCTCGAGCAGCATCGCCCCCAAAGTTCCCAGTCCCACAGTCCATACCTTTAATCTCGATGGATGCTTGGAGACGATGGCCCAAACCAGCCAGAAGAGAAGTTGGCTTAGACCCATCACCACACACACGATCATGTTCCAGCCTAGGCAAAACAAATGAAAGGAAAAACTTAATTCTCTTGGAAGTGTCAACAAAGTATCTCACCGTAGTCGAATTCGTAAAAGTTGAGGTAGCAAATGTGAGTCGCTATGAAACCAATGCACGGCGCGGAGACCATGACTCGAGCCGCCTCGGTTTTGATGCTCAGTGTTCTAGTGATGGCCAAGATGAGCGAGAAGCCAAGCGTGGCCACGGCTGAGGAGTAGTCCCAGCTCTCGTGAACTGGCGTGTCTCTGAGCAAAGGAAGCAATCTATCGAGCTTAAAGAACAAAAGAAAGAAACAAGTCCAAGTTCCACACCTTGTATGAAAGACCACGCTCCAAAACCAGGAATGTATCGAAAGCAGCCCATACACCGTCCAGAGTCCCACGAATTCGTAGTATGGTCCTTTTCTTCCTCGAGGAAGCTCGTAGTACACAGTGGAGAGGAACGATCCGAGACCCCAGACGTGAGCGAAGAGATTAAGTAGCGAGAAGAACACGGCAGCGGGTTCCTAGAAGTGGAAAAAAAAAAAAGAGAAGAAGCTCAGCACAGTGATGGAACACGAAAGGAAAGAAAGAACAACAAACTTACGTACCTGGACACCATAAATTCGATCAAACGGCCACTTTCCGTGATACTTGACAGGCTTCTCTCCGGCCAGAGCTCTTTCATCTTCTCGCCGGGTCATGCATTGGTAGCGACACTCGCTCGGACAATCCCATCGCGTGATGCTCAAATAGATCGGCTCCTCCTCTTTCTTTCCAGAGAATGTGGACGCATTGCACGATGAGAAGCACAGATCCCCGATGCAGCCGCTGCTCTGGCACGACTCCACGCAATCCCTGCGTCAAAGAAAGCATGGCGGGGACAATGAGCGCCCTTGCGGAGCGACTGGAATTTCCACGCAAAATTTCCCTATCCCAATGGCGCATACCTGTAGCTGGGATCCCGATCGCCGGCGCTCGCTCCGCAGAAGAGCGCGAGCAGCAGGATCTCCACGGCAATGACGAACAATGGCGGCCAAGCTCGATCCGCCATGCCCAGAGTAGTAAAGAAAGGAAAAATTGCCGATAACAAGGTTGACCTAAAGATCCAAATAAACAATTATTTTTACGCTCTCTGTTTTTAGGGTTCTTTGCCAAGTTTAGGGCTCTTCGCGAAATTTTAGGGTTCTTTCATCTCTCTTGGCTTACAATTTCACTTGGAAGGAGTTGGAGCTTCCAGAGAAAGGCCTCACGCTTCCAAACAAGCTCTTGCTCGCTCCAAAATGCGAGATCCGGTAAGTCCCTGCCTTTACTTCCTGGGGTATCTCCCATCTAATCGTTGCGTAGCTCCTGGAGCTCAGCGACGACGGCCTCCTCCACAGGAATCTCACGCTCCAGTCATTGTCATCGTAGAGCGATCGCCAGGAGCCATCGCTTTGCTCGATCTCCACGGAGCTAAAGCTTTTCTCCGTGAGCAAATCGTTCCTTGGGCAGCCCGTCCAGAAGACCACCTCCACAACGTCCCCAGGTCGGTAACTCGCGCCTCTCTTTACGTTGTTCTTGGCATCGCCAAAGTCGACACCGACTGGAGTGGTATCCATCACCACAGGTGGGAGAAGCTCTAGCTGCTTGCCAAGAAGGTCCGGCGGAGATGGCCCGGAGTCGACGTTACTGTTCTCGGCTAGAGCGATCGCGAGCTTCCGGAATTCTTGGAGATATCCGCTCAGAGTGTGAGGACCAAACAGCGTCGAGGCACCCTGAGCATGGAGTCAGGAACAAAGAAACAAGAGAAAAGAGACCAACCTCGTAACGCTGGATTTGATACTCCTCGAAAGTGGTCACGTACTGAGAGTAATCGTTGGAGAGGCCAGCGATGACGACGCGAGTTTTCGGACCAAATTGGCCACGACCTTTAGCGACGAGAGTTTCTTTGACGGCATCTCTCAATCGTCGTCCTGCCATGGTACTAAACTCTGGAAGACAAACGTAAATGGAACACGAACACGCAAAACAGAATAAAACAACCTACCTGCAGGCACCGAGAGGATGATAAGTTGGCCGATCTGCGAGATTTGGATCGGAAGAACTGAAGGCTGAAAAAACCAGACAGGAAGTAAAAAAACTACGAACGACATCAAGAGAAGACTTACAGCCCAGTCGTATGGAAATGTCATCTCGCCCGTGTCGATCAAAATTGGCTTTGGATACTGACAATCGACCTGTGCTTTGTTTGGCGTTTTCAGCGCCGCTCGAACTATTCGCCAAAACGCATTTCCCTGCCTCGAGTGTGAGAGAGTGAAAACTATGGAAAAGTTTTTAAGGTAATACCTTGGTATCGCCTTGTGTAAAATCGAAAGCTCCAGGACCGTCAGTCGTGCCCGCTGCGAAGCTAAAGCCAACAGCAGCCGGACAAGTCGTGACCGTTGACGTCGTTCCGTTTGCAGCGGTGAGAGTTACTTTAAGACGAGTAAAATCGACGAAAGTTTGCTTGTAATTTACTCGTCCTACCACCTGTTCTTTCGCGCTTCGGAATAGCTCTATTGCTTTCTGGAGCTGTTTTTGAGCAATGATCTTAGTGCTCGCAAAGTGGTCCGGGTATCTGCAAAGTCATCGCGTGAGAAACTTGAAAACTTCGGGAACCATGAAACCAACAAACAAACAACCACTTTACATACCCAGGACCACGACCAATGCACTGCTCGTTCCGTCCATCACAGGTGCTATGGTTGAACTCACAAGCCACGGTACTATCAGCGCAAAAGGCCCCCAGAGTGTTTGGAGAGACGTCTCCCTCGTTGCTCTGAGAGAACGCAGCGATGAAAGGCGAGCTGGAATCACCAACAAGCCTCCGCCTGTTGCGAATGGTAACACTAGCATTCATCGTCCAACCTGGTTTTCCAAGCATTTCAATGGTTGGATCTGTAATTCAGTCAAGTTTCCTGGTTCTAAGAAACGGTGAAAGAACTAGAAACGAGCAAAGGAAAAACTAAGATCTAACCTCAGTACCTTCTTGTTCTAGCTGTTTGTCAAACCAAGCTTCCATGAAATGCGCAGCAGCACCTTTGTTGTCACCACTTATAAGCTCGTTGGTCCGATTCATCGACGTACAATGGACTGGAAACCAGCTGAAAGAGCCGATCGGAGCTCGTTTGCTGTCCAAAAACTTGAGGAGCACCATGTTCTTGTCAACATTATACTTGTATCGTTTCCTTTCTTCCACGGGATTGTTGAGATACGCGCTGGGACTACGATTAATATTTGCATCCAAAAGCTCACCTGGAGAGAAGTAAACTTTAGAATCGAGAGATCACCATCTCTAACCTTCATTGAGTAAGATGGAACCAGGCCTCAAATTCTCGTGAGCCTGGACAATGCTGCTGAAAATCCCATCCACGAGAGCGTTGAAAGATTGCTTGACGAATCCGATGGAGGTGACAATGTAGAGAACGTATTGTAAGTAACCGCCAGGGCCAGAGTGCGTGTGAATGCCACTGATGATCACATTCTTCTCACTGTAGGTGTCTCCATACCTCCTCTCACACAAAAGAAAGAGTGAAGAACTCACTCACGATCGTGGAAGAGAAAGAAATATTTACCTGTCCTTGAGCTTGGAAAGAACTTTGATCGTGATCGCTTGCGATCCCATGCACGAATCCACGTTCACAAACGCTACTCGCCTCCCATCCGCGCCGGATTCCGCCACGATGAAGCTCCGCGCCCTGAGGCGCAGATGGATTCCAGCGGCATTCTGCGAGGGATCGGCGTAGCCCATCATATTTACATCTGCCGCCGGCCCTGTGACATCGTAGCTCCCCAATCCTACCAGGAAATCGCCGCTGGCGCTGGCCGCGAGCAAGGCGATCGAAATCGCGGCGGCGAAGACTGGCGCTCCCATTCCCCTGCGACGATCTAGGTCACTGTGGAGCAACCAAAATGGCGGTGGTGGAGAGCATGAATAGTTGCGCTTTCGCTGGCAGTGCAAGACAAGCGAAGAACAGGGCGCCAGAAAAGAAAGAAAGCCCTGGAGTGACGTGGACAAGTTCTCCGACGCTATGCATATTCCGGAATCTTTATATTAGGGCTTGGGAGAAATATTTCGAAGAATGCGAGGAGCTATGGATGCGAGGAAGGCGCTCGTCTACACTTCTTGCTACTGGTATGGATTGGATCCGATCGCGGCGATCATCTCACCTATCCGTGATTCTCAGTGAGGAGAATGTGTTCTTGCTTTGCAAAGCTCTGATGGAGCTCAATATCGCGCTGCCAGATGCCTCGGATCTCTTCGTTGTCTTCCTCCTCAGCGCTGATAAACAGGCTGGTGCTGATTTTCGCAGCAGTAGAGGCTTTTCATCTCAGTTCTAACTTCTTCTCATTTTCATTTGCTGTTTTTCCAGTTTCCAATTTGGTGCCAGAAGAACAGCAGCCGCGATGATGGATTTTGTGTTTGGGACTACCACGTCATTTGCATCCAGGTCTGCTAGCTCTTGGATTACAGGCTTTCTCTGACTCTTTGCGAGAAAAAAAATTCCTAGAAGAGATTTTCATCCTCCACACCCGATGAAGCCAGTGTTTGGGATTTGGATACATCCCTTGGACTTCCCGTTGCTTTTAGTTCCTACGTCAATGAAGCTCTCAAGCCACTAGTTGTGAAGAAACACTCGCTCGACCGGTAAGAAACACTCTCCTTGTTTTAATTCGGTATCGTGCTCATGTTTCTTTGTTTTTGTCACAGGCTTTTCAGAGTTGTTTCTGCTCACAATTTCTTAAGATACTTCGCATCAGATAGAAGACATATGAAAACCAGTGATGGGGGTTGGCTGGCCGCTCCGCCAGATTACGAATGCATTGTGTCGCAAGGTACTTAGTTTAAGTTCTTTCATCGTAAACAAAGACGTAACAACAATGTTGTGTTGTAGATGGTACTATACACAATCTGGAAACTTACATCAGCGTGGCTCACGCCTCTCGAGCACCAGCTTCTCGGAAAGAGATTTTACAGTGTCTGGTGACCGAGAATCTTGGCTGTGTTCTATCTGAGGATAATTTCTGCGAACTTTTTGAGGTACTCGTCCTAAGTTTTAGTCTTTCTAGAAGAAAAAAAAATCCAATTCACGCGCTGTATTTACAGGCTATTGACCCGTCAGTGCCCCCCGACGAGGCTGAGCAAGAAGTGTTTGTAGTTTCCAGAAGTGTCACCCGAGATCATTGATTCTAATGGCTTCTTGTACTTTTGGTAGAAATCCGCCTTGATGTACTGCATATCCTGCTCGGCCCTGGTGACGACCACTCTAATCAGCGTCGAATCGTCGGTTCCCATACGTTTCATCGAGTCATACAAAACCTGGACGCAGAGAATACGCGTAAGTTTCGAAGGAAGGACGGAAGCAAGAAAAAAACGTGACAAACCTTGGCGAAGTATCGTCCAGGCCTTGTTACGGACTTAACGATCAGCCTCAGAGCATCTTCGAAGTCCCCGGAAGTTTCTCGCTTTATGGCCTACCAGCAAAAGTAAGTTTTCACTTTCCTTCCTTCCAACTTTAAGAACTAGGCAGCTTTTTGGACACTGGATAGATGCTTACTTTGTCAATGTCGCGCTTGTACAGGTGTTTGTAGGCTGCGAATGCGGCGTGGAGCTGCGCGGCACTCCTCGTCGAGAAAACGCGAATGAAAGTCGACTCGTCGGTGCCAAGCCTTCCTTCTCCAGCTCTATACAACTCTCTGGCGTCGGCGTCAGCTAAATGCATGTCTACGTGAGGCCCCTCTGGCCGCTGTCCACTCGCAAAGGCCAGGAGCAACTGCAAAATCAAAGACAAAGAACAAGCTCGTGAAAACTCGTTTGATCGATCGAGGTAAGAGATTTTCGTATTCTTCTCACCTTTCTATAGTCACCACTTGTGTCTGATTGAATGTCTTTGTCCAGGGAGCGATGATACTTGGTTTGATATGCCTGGCGTATGTAGTAGAGCTGCGAGGGAGTTCTCGAGCAGATGATCTCGATCAGCGTCTTATCTTTGGTACCCAGTCCTTTCATCGCATCTCTGATTAACACCGCGTCCCTTTCAGCTGGCTCCATCATCCACAGCAGCACTGCTTGCTGGAAGATAGATTTTAATATTCGCACACGAAGTTCTTGAGAAACTAAACTCACCTCGAGATTCCCGTGGAGCTCTTTCTCCAATCTTCGCAAGAGATCCTCTCCATACATGCTTCTGTAAGCGTTTACCAGCTCTCTCCGCTGCAAGTAATTCCTGTGCGCCAGAATTTGTATGACGTGCTTCTCATCGCATCCAAATCCTGGCGGAAAGAAGAAGAGTTACATCTGTGATCTCGGTGATCGCGAGCGATCGATCTCACCTTTGAAAGCGTGATGCAAGGCCTGGCAATCTTGCTGGACGGGGGGAAGCATCGGCGGCACTGTGATCGTGGACATTGCAGTAGCGAATCCAAGCGCAATGGCGACTCTAGATGGGAGAAGAAATTTAGTGAAAGGAATCCCTAGCGGAGCAAAGAACGCGACATTGGAATTTAAGACGCGGATTTCGTAAAATAGACCGCCGCGTGGCACAATGATGACAGAAAAGAATATACGAGAGATCTTGTGTTTAGTTGAGCATGATTTATGGAAAAACTTTATATATTTTGGTTTAGATTTAATCATGAAATCAAGCAAATCGAGCTCGTACCAAGTGGTCTTTTTTTCAGTGGCTTCGACTATAAGACCCCCCTGCCCATCTAGTAGAAGTGAGGATAAGGTTTTCTCAGAGCTATGAAGATTGGGGCTTTCTTTGTTCTGTTTGTGATAGCACTTATGCTACTGCCCACTGCAATGGCATGTAATTATAGTTCGCAATGTTCTACTGGCTGCTGCTATGGGGTCCGGGGGGGGCCTGGAAGATGCCATCAGAAAACACCATCTGGTTGCTGTGGATGGGGCTGCCCTGGTGCCTCTACTCAGATTTTTGACATGGAGGGCAATGAGATTTTTGAAGATGGTGTTGACATTGCTGAATGATCATCTCGTCCATTGACTTCCAATGCTGCAATAACTGGTATCCCCTATGATCTTGTTGGAATAACACTCATGTGTTCTCACAAAGTGTTGTGGAGCATGTTCTACTGGTGTAATAGTGTATCTTGCAGTGCCCATCTTGAGGCACCAATGGGATGTGTTTAAATTCCTCGCGAATGTGTTACTCTCTTTTATTCCTCACCTGAGCTGCTTTGCATTGTTAGCACATATTTAATAAAGTTGTTAAGTTATTTAATTGTGTCGGAGGCCACAGAAGAGTTCAGGTTGGATCTTAAATGTTACAAAATTGCATAATAAATGGACTTCAAGTTTTTTATGAGTTGTGGTCAGCTTGATATTTTCTGAAAAAGGTATGCCTTAGTGCTATGTAGGGCCTTGCATCGGCATTAACATGATTTAATTTTTTTACTTATTGAAAAGAAAAACATATTCTTTCTTATGCACAAGAGGGGTCACATGCAGTGTATAATAAAGTCTGGTGCCTTTGGAAGTGGCTGGTACAATTGGAAAATTCCAATTCAATTTAAATTTACAAGGATATACCCTCGCACTGAAAAAGCTCATATAAAGATTAAGCCAGTACCATTTCATGGCTGTAGAATCTCTTGAGGATTAGGCATTAGTTAAAACAGCTTTATTTTAGCGTTAAATGTCTCAAAATATCTAAATATATTCAGATATATACCAAAAAACTTTATTATACATTAATCAGATAGAAATGTTTTGTATTAAACTTGTTTTACAAATGTTGTCCTTAAGGCCATAACTCAAGCTTTGGACACTGAGAGCTTTTAAGAGCAGTATTCTCAAGTTGTAGATTGAAGAGGTCAAGCACGAAAACTATAAAAATAGAATGCATGCTAGACAGATTGAACTCCAACATGAAGACCCTCCAGCTAAGTGTTAGTTTGAATATCATCTCTTTAAAAGGTAAATTGAATTGATCAATAACTTTCTAGACTCCAGTTTGAAAAAAATGCTTTATCATAAACGTTCGCTCAAATTCTGGAAGAGAAACTTTAGCAGTCTTAAAGTAATCTGACTCCGATGCCTCTTTAGCAGTGATTATCTCCTTCGCTCATGAGATCAAACGCAAGTGAGTCCCCAAGCCTAGACTGTAGAAGTGTGATGGAAAGTTTGACTTTTCAAGCTTGCCCCAAAGGTGAGCATGTTAGTAATTATTCCTCACACTCGGGAGCTGCAAGAGTATTATGGCCGCATAAAGAAAATGCAGTATGCTTCTAAAGATGTTAAAAAAGTAGAGTCTTTTTTTATTCTCCATCGCCCACAGTGCAAGAGAGGGTTACATATTATGCAAAGAGGTTGAGTGTTGTACAAAAGATAGAGTAAAGAAACTTAGAAACCCGAGACCATACACTAGTTTTAAAATAATCTGACTCCAATGCCTCTTTAGCAGTGATCCTCTCCCTGGGATTCAAACACAACATCTTCCTAAGCAGATCATACGCAGGTGAGTCCCCAAGCCTAGACTGTAGCAAGTTTGATGGATTCCTTGGAAAGCTTGATTTGTACGTGTTATAATTTTCAAGCTTGTTCACTCCTTTCCAAGTCGTCTCGTCCACTGGTCCAATCCATTTCACGATACTGTTCATCACGTCGAGTTCACTGTTTGGAGGGAAGTTTCCATCGTCATCGCCAAAAGGGAATCCCGTTAGTAACTCAAGGAAGATGCATCCGGCCGCCCATATATCAATCTCCCGGCCATAAATATACTTCTCACCACCCAAGAGAAGCTCTGGAGCTCTGTAATATACATTTCCCATGTTCTCACAACTGCCCGCACTCGCAAAGCATACACGAGAGAAATCAATGAGCTTGATCACAACGCTGTTGTTAAGATTCTTGTTGTGGTTGATTAAAACGTTAGAGCTCTTGACGTCTCTATGGATTAGGCCTTTAGAATGAACAAAGGCGAGGGCTTCCAGGATCTGCTTCATAATGGACCTCACCGCAACCTCTGGGATTTTCCCTTCTCTCTCTCTCACGTCCCATATGTACGAGAACAAGTCCTCGTCCATGAGCTCAAACACCATGAAAAGGCCTTGCTCGGTCACGAGCTTAGAGTGCAGATGGATGATGTTCTTGTGCTGGCATGCCCGGAGAGTTGCGCACTCCCACATCATGTCGGCTGCATCATGTTTGCTTGAGAGCTTCTTCACTGCAACCATGGCTCCAGTGACTCTGTTGCGAGCTAGACGAACTACTCCATCAGTACCTTGTCCAAGGAGAGGTGACTGTGTGCTATAGTCATATCTATCCATCCGGGAACAATGTCTAGACCTATTTCTTTCAATGGATTTTATAGGGGAGAAAGGAAAAAAGGTCAGATTTCCGTATAGGAATAAATGGAGCAATCTTAAAAGGAGGGGGAAAGGGGAGCTAAGTACACGTCACGGAATATACTTGAGCGAGCATGGTACGGCATGGGCGTGGCTCACAGGGACATAAAATCTGACAACGTTCGCTTGGGAGAAAAATATTTAACAACGTAAAGTTGGTGGTCTTTGGTGTGTGGAAGCAGGAGCATATGAGACTGTGAGGCAATATTGGGACAGATAGATACATGGTGGTGGCTTCTCTTGGAAAGTACGACGAGAGGGTGGATGTCGGGGGCATGGGCCCTGGACTGGACACATGTTAGTGGGGATGCGGAGGATCTCATTCTCCAGCTAGACCCAAACGAGAGGCTGACTATGCGTCAATACTCCCTGCTTCCAAACTTGACTCCTGTTCTGTTTTGCGTTGCCACGACCTTATGTACTGAGCTCATCCATGGGATGTGGAACACTCGTCACATGATGAACAGAAGAAGATGAGTCCGATTCTCAGTTGGTTGTATCTCGCCGCTTCCCGCAAAGTTTGGAATTTCTAGCTATTCTTCAAAAATGGGTGTTGTGAAATCTTAACTGTGTTGAAACAATAGAGAAGTAGACTTCATCCTCAGTACACGTAATTTGTATATGAAATCTATCGCCTCTGGAAGTTGATGAACTTGATGGAGAACGCAAAGACGAGCCAGAAGAGCAGCATAAACCCCAAAATCACCATCGCGCAAACTCCCACAAATCCCTCCTCAAACCCGAAGTATCGCTCCAGAAACTCCTTGACGCTCATCGTTTCCAATCCATCTCCAACTCCAATCTCGTCCTCCACATCCCCGAGCTGCGACACCGTCAGCCCATAGATCGTCCAGCTGACCGGGTTCAAGTAGTAAAACCACAGCCACCACCCGGGGATCCTCCTCTTGGGGATGAAGAACCCCGAGAACAAGTTCCAGAGCGAGTAGAAGGCCGAGGAAACCACCGAAGCCAGCTGCTGTGATGGTGTAAGCCCCACTGCCATCATCCCATATAACGTGAAGTACGCCAAGGTGACGAACATGAAGAAGAGATACCATAGGAACTTGACGAGCGAGAGCTCAAACTGGACCATGCCGTACGTGACCACGCCGTAGAGGAGCGTCTGGACGAAGATGTATGGGAGCTCGATCGCCCCCTGCGCGAATGCGTAAGGCAGCGGCGAGTACATCCCCGCTGCCCTCTCCCTGTAGAACACGGTCCTCTCCACGGACACCACCGGCTGGACGCTGGACGCGTTGTTTACTCCCAGGAACACCACCGCCGCGAACAAGACTCCCATGGCGTTGAAAACGTCCTGCTGCGTCTCACGGTGCCTCCCCACGCCCCAGAAGATTGAGCCGAAGATGAGCGCGCAGACGAGCGTGAAGAAGAGCCGGACAACGTTGTAGTATGGGTTCCTCCAGTACGTCAAGTGCTGCTTCCACAGGCAAGCCCGGCACTGGCTCCAAAAGTCCAGGGAGTACTTGGTCGGGAACTCGAGATCCTTGGATCCTGGAGCTGGAGAGCTCAGTGACTCGATCAACTTCTCGTTGTCTTGGTACTGCATGGAGTTCTGGAAGATGTCCGCGAAGGCTTGGCCTAGCCGGAGCTCCGCCGAGGGGCTCGTGACTTCGAGCATCCAGGTCGCTGGATTGTAGCCTTCTCGCAGCGGAGGAACTCCTGGAATGGACTGGAAGTAGTCGACCATGGTTTTGGAGTGGAGTCCCAGCGGGCCGACGTAGATGGCTCGGCCCCCGCGAGTCATCAGCAGGAGCTCGTCGAACGACTCGAAGATATCGATGCTCGGCTGGTGGATGGTGCAAACCACTGTTCTTCCGGTGTCCACCGTGTTTCTCACGGTTCTCATCACGATCGCAGCTGCTCGAGCGTCCAGACCCGACGTTGGCTCGTCCAAGAAGATAATCGAGGGGTTGGCAACGAGCTCCACGGCGATGGTCAGCCTTTTGCGTTGCTCGGTGGACAGCCCCGACGTTCCTGGAAGTCCCAGGAGGGCGTTTCTCAAGTTGCCAAGCTCAACCAGCTCCATGACTTTCTCCACGAACGAATAGCGGGTGGCGGCGTCCACCTCGGCCGGGAGTCGCAGCCACGCGGAGTAAACGAGCGATTCGTAGACGGTCACCTGTGGGGAATGTATGTCCGTTTGTTCCACGTAGCCGGAGATCCTCGCGAAAGTTTTCTGGAGCTTTGGAAACCCGGAGACCCTCACGTCGCCCTGGATGTATCCCCCGGTTTTCCTCCCCGCAAGAACGTCCATGAGAGTCGTCTTGCCGGCTCCACTCACGCCGACGAGCGCTGTAAGAACCCCCGGCCTGAAAGCTCCGCTCACGTCCCGGAGAAGCTGGAGCCTGTCCTCGGTCACTCCCTGGGCTCTCATCTCGGCCGGAACGTCCACGAAGTAGCAAACCTTCTGGAAAGTTAGTGCCAGCGGCTGGAACGGCAGGATCATCCCTTTCTTCGTCACTCCTCCTCCTCCATTCGATACTGGCAAAACCTCGATCGCTACTGGACTCTCACGAACTTCCGCGTCATTGTCCGCCATCTCTCGCAAACTTTCCTCCGAGACCACGGCCTGAGGCTTCCGGAGAGGATTGAGATACGAGAGAGCGAGCGTTCCCAGCAGCTGGAGCAAAACTATATACCCGACCAGCACCGCAATCCCGATCCAATACCAGTAACTCTCCACAAAGAGGCCCCTCGGCTTCAAGATCTTCACGTAGAGCTTTCCGTCGTCACCATGCACGGACTTATCCCACCGTGAAGCTCCAAACTCGTTCACGGCCAGCGCGTTCTCGGCGTACGAGAGCGGCGAGAGCCAATAAGCCCAGATCCACCACCCTGGTATGTGAGTTCTATCGATCACGAAGCCCCCGAGGAGGAAAACAATAAGAATCCCAAACGATCCAAACGTGTTGGCGACGATCATGTTCCTCCCCACGGCACCGATGAAGCGAAACATCGCAAGAGCCATCTGGTGCATGAGAACCAGCAAGAACATATAGCGGAAGAACCTCTGCGGCTGTGGATCCAGTCCGACCATGTAGTAGACAATACACGACCAGATCACTCCCTCGATCACCGAGTATGGTATCCGGAGCAGCCAGCTTGGGAGCGAAAACGCCCAGCCGGGAAAGAAGAGGTTGTCCCGCTGCTTGTAGAACACTGGCAGCCGATGAACCGTGATCGCCATCTCCGAGAAACCATTGAACATCATGTGAACCAGCGCGTAGAAGAGCGTGGCGAGGTAGAGATTTCCATCGCTCTCACTGTCCGGATGGATCCTCGTCCGCAAGAACAAGGTCCCGGCCACGAACGCCATGAACGCGACCTGCGCAGTCCGGAACGAGTAGAGGAACCGGTTGCGCTTGATGAGAAGCCACTCGCGCTCGGTGCATGCCTTGAACATCTCCCAGCGCGGGATTCCATACTTGGTCTTCGTGAGCGCGGCGGGGTGGCCGGACTCCTTCTCGAACGGGGACCCGAGGTGGAGTCCGAGGTCCTTGCCAACTTCGTAGCCTTTGAAAGCCCTGGCGATGGTGGCGACCGGGACGTAGCTGTAAGGCCGTGTTTCGTCCGCCCAGTACTGCTGCTGATCCTTCCGGGACGTCACCTCCTGGAGGAAGTCCGCGATGGCCTTGCGGGGCGGGAGCTGGAAGCCCAAGCTCGCGAAGAAGTCGAGGATGTGCTCGCGGGGGCCGAGGTAGACGATGTGACCCTCGGCGAGGAGCAGGACGTCGTCGAAGAGCTCGAATGTTTCCGGAGGTGGCTGAAGCAGCGCCATGAGCACCGTCCCCTCGAGCGAGTGCGCGAAGTTGCGGACACACCTGACGATCTGAAAGGTGGTGGAGCTGTCCAGCCCCGTGGAGATCTCGTCCATGAAGAGCGTCTTCTTGGGCCCGACGATCATCTCCCCGGTGGTGACGCGCTTCTTCTGCCCGCCCGAGACGCCGCGCAGCATGTCGCTCCCCACCACCGTGTCCGCGCAGATCTCCAGGCCCAGGACTTTCATCACGTAGTTCGTCCGGACGCTGTGGCGCGCGCCCTCCACCGCCGCCAGCTTCATGAACGCGTCGATGCATGGATCCGGCCGGATGTTCTCGCGCTTCTCCCGCCGCAGCAGCTCCATCAGTAGATCGATCGTGAATCCAACTCCCTGGCAGCGAGCAGCAAAGTCGAGCGTCTCGCGGACCGTAAGCTCGCCGATGTGATCGTCCTCCTGGCTAATGTACGAGGAAGTTCTCCGAGCTTCGAACTCGTCCAAGCTGTGACCATTGTAAGTGACGGCTCCGGTGGTCTTGAGGCTTTGATCCAGCTTCCCGGCAAGAGCTCGCAGGAGCGTCGACTTGCCGGATCCGGGAGGCCCCAGCAGCAGCATCGTCCTTCCCGGCTTCACCACCCCGCTCACGTCTTTCAGGATGTGGATCTCGCGTTTTTTCGAGGCCAGGACCCCGGACGCTGCTAGGAGGCCCTCGATAATGTTCCTCACGAAGTTAACGAGCGTTGGGAGGGCTCTGGATCCGACGTAGGCGTCGGCGGAGACGCGGAGGTTCTGGAAGCGGACCTCCACTCGCGGGATTTGCACTCCCACCGCCTGGATTCTCTCTCGCAGCCTCGCCACCAGCGTTTCGTTGTCTTGGTCCGTGGTGGCGAAGGCTCTCTCGATGATCCTCTGCCTCTCCATCCGGGTCAAGCTGCTCACGTCCATGACGTGCTTGGTCGATCCTGGAGAAAAGTTTAAGCTCTATTGGATCGTCTCGAGAGAGTAAGATCTAAAGCAACATACCTTGATCTTGATCTTGATCTCCAGCCTCGAGTTCTTCCAGGAGAGTCGTGCGAAGCCGGCGATAAGTTGGGAGCTTCTCCAGGGCGGCCCAGAGAAGATCGTCGTCGCCTCGATCGCGGTGGTGGCCATCGCCAAACGCCGAGCCGCCGAGACCATCGTCGTCCGTCCAGGATCGCTGGCCACCGTGCTTGCGCTCGAAGGTAAAGTCGCCGCCCAGCTCGCACGGCCCAAGCCCAGAGGCCTCCGCCATCGCCAAGCCCCGTGACGAAAAAAGGTGGCAAGGTATTTATAGCGCGGGAACTTTAATCTCCTCCTCCTCCATAGTAACACGAAGGAAACAAGGAAACACTACCTGATAATCACTTTGAGCCTCGGGAGTAATAGCCTCGCGAGCCAGCGAGGCAAATACTCAAAGCTTTACTGGGCATCTTGCTAAGCAGAGCACCGACGAGATAAAAATGCCGCTTGCGGGCAAATGCTGCAAGAATGGCTATCCACCACATTTCTCTCGATCTTTCCAGCATACCCAGCGTTCGATCGCCAAGCATGACTCCGGTGTAAAAACTGATCATATCAGCTCCAAAAGAGAAATCACACTCCCACCAGTCAAAATCTTCTGCCGGGACTGAAAGCCTTTGTAAATCTCTTGACTAAATTCCTTCTCAGCGAAATTTACAGTTTAGTCCCAAATCCTGAACTAGCTACACTGACGAATCTCTAGACGAACAACTCCTCCTCCCTCTCTCGATTCAAGAATCTTGCAGCACTGCCTCCTTGGTGCCTAGAATTTTTTTCCCAGATCATCAGCCAACTTTGATCGATATAGCAATGAAGAACACATACCTTGTACCACGATTCATCGCTTGCTTCCTTGTCCACTAAGATCGTCTCGACCCCAAGCAAGCTCGAGCAAGCCGCGGCCGCCGGCGCCTCACTCTTGACGTAATTGCTCACAGAGATTCCACTGCCATTGCTGCTGCTCTTCACGGATTCCATGTAGAACCTCACGGGCCTCTGGCAGAGATCCACCGGCAGGGCCCTCGTCTTGAACGGGAAGCTCAGCTCACTTCTCTCGCCATACCACCCCACGAAAGTTCTCAGCGGGAGCTCCAGGATCCTGGGAGAGATAAGTTCCTGGCTAACTTCTACGAGGTAGCCCCACGATACCTGGATCGAAAAGTTCCTGTGTCTGTCGTAGCAAATCGACTGCTGGAAGATCCCCGCCGGGTCGATCCTTGCCGCCGAGAAGAGGCGATTGATGGACTGCCGCTGCGTTGCATTGGGGAAGAGCGGATGGATGACGTTGAGATGGTGTAGAGAGAGCGCTGGAGCGATGGGATGAGCTGCTAGAAGCCCAGAAGCATCGCCCAAAACATCGAGCTGGAAGAACGAGCAGCAAAAGAACAAACTTTAGACGATCGAGGAAGAGAGAAACACGATTGAGAGAGTTTTACCTGGTGGAATCCGGGCTCTCGAGTGAGCTGCACGCCCAGCTCGGCCATGCAAGCCTGGATCCGATCATCGCTCCCGTAGAGAAAGTGGTACCTCTCGAGGCAATCGTCTTGCATCGCTGCGAGTGCCTCGGCCAGCGCGTAGCTTATCGCGAATCCCCCTCCTCCATAGGCCATGAAGGACGAGAAGCCTCTCACATTTTGGAGATGGTTCTCGGAGCTGGATCCCACGTAGAAGAACTTGGTGTGGTCATACTTGGCGAGCATGCGGGCGAGGTTGTCAACGAAGAAGACCGTGTCATCGTCGCCAAGAACGAACCATCTCACGCCGGGCAGCCCCATCCGAAACATCTCCGAGACGATCCTGGAGATCCGGATGGCGGATCGCCGCCCTCTCGGGAATGTGTACCTGAATCGCGCGGTGCTCTCCGAGATCCGGAGCTCCGGGAGCGAGGAATTGTCCCAGAAAGACTCGGCCAGCGGCGGCGGCTGATCCACGAAGACGAATCCGCGAGTCTGGCCGGGCCTCCACCACGCCTTGATGAAATCTTTCCTCCTCTCAAGAACGCTCGACGCCGCCCCGATCCCAAAGAGGATATTGCCCAGCCGCGTTTCTTGATCTTCTTGATCTTGATCTTGCCCTCGCTCGCGCCGGCGATCCATCGCTCGATCGTAGCTCGCATTGCTCGGCGGCGGACGCAGCTGCTGGATCAAGAAGCACACGGTGAAGATCGCGAGCGCGAGCTGGAAGATCGCCGGCAATCCCAGCGCTGGCCTCCATGCCCTGGATCCGGGCTCCTTGCCTTCCATCGACGAAGAAGAGATCCAAGAAATCCGGCGCAAGAACCTCGTAATCTGTGACAGCGATCGATCATCCAGCGTCGCGCAATCACGCAATACCTGTGATCGATGACTAGCTCCCGCGACAAATCCCTCATGATTGACGACGCCCGCGTGTGTAAATTCGTTCACGACTCTCCTCCTGTTTCTAGTGTAGGGCAAAAGTAATATAAAACAACGAATATTTCATTCCATCCAGTGAATATTCGTTCTCCAGATTATTTCAGTTAAAGGGATTCGATCCAAAGACCAATTTGGATAAGAAAGCGCCAGCTTCGATCCACACTGGAAGGAAGCAATGCTCCAAGGGCGCCAAGGGTTTAGATCGCTGCTCCTTAGGTTGTCAAATTTCCAGGGCTGCCGCTATGAATCCGGATCGGCAGTGGCGGCGCCAACGCTAGCGCCATCGCCTTCGCTCGATGGCCGAGAGTTCACAGCCGCCGGGACGGCGTCGACAATGAGAGCCGCGGTGCTGTGGGAGCCCGGCAAGCCGATGACGCTGGAGGATATGCAAATGCCTCGGCCGAAATTTGGAGAGGTGCTGCTCAAGACGAAAGGTATGTGGATTGTTTGGATCGATCGATCTAAATTTCCATGGATCGGGCAGCTTGTGGAGTTTGCCACTCGGATTTGCACATCATCAAGAAGGATCAGCCGTTCCCCTTGCCAGTAGTTCTCGGCCACGAAGTGACTGGAGAGATCGTGGAGCACGGTCCACACACGGATGCTGCTACACTACAAAGGTATTCTAGCGAAACTTAAAAGGGGTGACTCTTTTATTGTCAGTGATTCAGTGATTTTTAAGCTGCGAAATCCAGGCTCCCGATCGGTGCACGAGCAGTCGGAGCATTCATCATGCCTTGTGGAGGATGCTTCTACTGCGTCAAGGCAAGTGAAGAGTTTTAGCTAGAATTCCCTCAAAGTATTCTAACATGTAACTCCAGGGACAAGAAGATCTCTGCGAGACTTTCTTTAAGTATAGTAGAGGCAAAGGAGCTCTTTATGATGGACAGACTCGATTATTCATTGCGAGCAATGGTTTGAAAAAATCGCTTCTTTGCTCTCCTGATTTTCTTGGTTTTTTCTCGTGCAGGAAAGCCGATTCATATGTACAGCATGGGAGGCATGGCTGAGTATTGTGTAGTTCCCTCCAACGCATTAGCAGTCCTACCTTCTACTCTGCCTTACTCGGACGCAGCGATAATGGGATGTGCAGTTTTTACAGCTTATGGAGCCGTGAAGAATGCAGCCAACTTACGTGCTGGCGAAACCGTATCCGTGATTGGCATCGGTGGTGTTGGATCCAGGTTTGCTGCACAAAGAGAACTTATTTTTGTTCACGATGTTCTTAACAACGGTTGGAACAGCTGCTTGCAGTTAGCTCGAGCGTTTGGAGCTCGCCAAGTTATTGCAGTTGATGTCGATGACAAAAAGCTGGAGAACTCCAAGAAGTTTGGAGCAACACACACCGTGAACTCAGCCAAAGTAAATCCTGTGGAAGCTATCAAGGTAAATCAAGTTCTCAAGTATATTGTAAATGGTCGCTTACAGTCTTCCGTTCGTCCAGGAGCTCACCGGTGGAAGAGGAGTCGACGTTGCCATTGAAGCACTGGGAAAGCCAAAGACCTTCCAGCAAACAGCCATGAGCGTCCGCGATGGAGGCCGAGCTGTGATGGTCGGGCTCGCCTCGTTTGGAACTACGGCCGAATTCGACATGGTTCACGTTGTTCGTAGACAGGTATCTCAATCTCTGCGGTGGCTTGGATCCTCTTATCCAAATTTGTTTCGTTTATACAGGTGAGAATCATCGGTTCTTATGGAGCTCGAGCGAGACAAGATCTTCCAGAGCTCGTCACCCTCGCGGAGATTGGAGCCATCAATCTAAGCAGCGGGGTGACGCAGCGATGTGGTCTGGAAGAAGTGAACCAAACGTTTGATGCCTTGGACAGAGGACAAATCCTTGGCAGGGCCATAGTCGAATTTAATTAACCTTAACCTGGTACTTTGTAATAAACCATAATCTTGGAATATCCCTTTGCGCTTGAATTAAATTAATCTTAATCACTTAGTAAATAAGATTCCTGGAATATCCCTCTGTGCCCTAGTTTCTTTTTGAGCTTGTGACTGCGAGAGTGATGGCGCAGGTGCAGACGCTCGACATTTTCGGCGAGCGGCAGAGCGGCGCCGATGTGCGCACACAGAATGGTGAGATTCTTCGCGCTCTAGTGTGGGATTTCGGCCTTATGTACTGATTCTTTCTGGCGATCTTCAGTCACGGCTTGCGCGGCCGTTGCCAATATTGTGAAGAGCTCTCTGGGGCCAACCGGCCTTGACAAGGTCTGCTTCTTCTTTCTTAGTTTTCTTGAAAAAACGTTCTGTGATCTCCATCGCAGATGCTTGTAGACGATATTGGCGATGTTACAACGACGAACGATGGCGCGACCATCTTGAAAATGTTAGAAGTCGAGCATCCTGCTGCTAAGGTGGGTTCTAGTTCTTTCACTTTTATTTGCTGCAATGCTGATAGTTTAAATCATCAGGTTATGGTGGAACTAGCTGAGCTTCAAGACAAAGAAGTTGGAGATGGCACAACGTCTGTAGTTATTATTGCGGCAGAGCTCTTGAAGGTAAAAATGGCTCTCTCGTTCTTTTCTACTATGTGATAAAGCTTCTAAAATTCAGAGGGCCAACGATTTAGTTCGGAACAAAATCCATCCTACTTCTATCATTAGTGGATTCAGGGTATGTCACGATTGCGTTCTGTGCTGTGTAGATTTTCACAAGTGGAACGTGCAGCTTGCTATGCGTGAATCGTGCAAATATATCGAAGAGAGATTGTCCGTGAAGGTTAGAACTTTGCCATTCATTGCTATTGTGAGTCAGATCCTTTCAAGTTTTGGACGCAGGTCGAAAAACTTGGGAAGGAGTCGCTAATAAACTGCGCGAAAACAAGCATGTCGTCTAAGATTATTGGTACAGACAGTGACTTTTTCGCGAAAATGGTAAAGAACACTTTCATCGCGAGATCGATTAGTCAATTCTTTTCCAGGTCGTCGATGCTGTACAAGCTGTGAAGACTGTTAACGAGAAGGGGGAGACGAAATATCCCATTAAGGTTTGTCATTGCCCATTGCTGCAAATTCTGACGAATATTATTTCCAGTCTATTAACATCTTGAAAGCTCACGGAAAGAGCGGGAAGGATAGCTATCTGTTAAATGGGTATGCTCTCAATACCGGACGTGCTGCACAAGGCATGCCACAGCGGGTTTACCCGGCAAGAATTGCGTGTCTAGATGTCAACCTTCAAAAGTCCAAAATGCAAATGGGTGTGCAAGTTCTAGTCACCGATCCACGTGAGCTGGAGAAGATTCGGCAAAGGTAATAGCTCTTCTTTTTTTTTTTTTCTTTTTTGTTATCTGGTCTGACTTTTCTATCTTCTACAGGGAATCGGACATTACAAAAGAAAGGATTCAAAAGATTTTGAAGGCCGGTGCTAATGTCGTTCTCACTACGAAAGGAATAGATGATATGTCTTTAAAGGTATGGCTCAGCGATTCTCTTTTGAAACGAGACTAAGGATCTGTGATCTCAGTATTTTGTAGAAGCAGGAGCAATAGCTGTACGCCGTGTTCGGAAGGAGGACCTGCGGCATGTGGCCAAGGCAACTGGTGCTACAATGGTGGGATTGAGTATAATTTCAAGGAATTTACTGAAGCGAATCTCCATTCTATCAGGTTGTTACTCTGGCCGATATGGAAGGCGGCGAGTCATTTGACCCTTCTTACCTTGGTCATGCTGAAGAAGTAGCCGAGGAACATGTGGCCGATGATGATGTGATTATGGTTAAAGGAGCCAAGAGCACAAAAGCTGTGAGCCTTGTTATACTTCTCCTTTCGTGGTGCTAGAACTTCTGCTGTTTTGTGACAGGTCTCAATCATTCTCCGCGGTGCGAATGACTATATGCTCGATGAAATGGATCGGTCCATGCATGACGCGTTGAGTATTGTGAAGCGTACACTGGAATCTAGTGCGGTATGTGAACTTAGGACGTCTTTGTGTTTGTACTGACTACCTCGTAGGTCGTTGCTGGAGGTGGTGCTGTCGAGGCTGCATTGTCGGTGTACCTGGAAAATCTGGCCACAACTCTGGGATCGCGTGAGCAGCTGGCGATTGCGGAGTTTGCTGAAGCGCTCCTTGTGATTCCAAAGGTTTGTCTTAGAATGCGTGTTTGCTTGCCGCGATTAACGTTTCTATCTTTCCCCGTGAAGGTTTTGTCAGTGAATGCCGCCAAGGACTCAACAGAGCTGGTTGCCAAGCTCCGCGCGTACCACCACACTGCGCAGACCAAGCCCGACAAGCAGCACTACGCGGGGTAAGAAGCTTGCCATCCCAGGAACGCCGGCGATTCTTACAGCATTGTGTTCGTGCTTTTTTCCAGTTTTGGTTTGGATCTGCTGAAAGGAGCTGTGAGGAATAACCTGGAGGCGGGTGTTTTGGAGCCGGCAATGAGCAAGCTCAAGATCATACAGGTTAAATCCACTATATGTTTGTTTCTCGCTTCTGACCCCGCCGCCTCGATCCAGTTTGCCACCGAAGCCGCCATCACCATCTTGCGAATCGATGACATGGTGAAGCTCTACAAGGAAGACAACCAAGACGATGAGTGATGAGTTAGCCGACAATGGTTTTGTGTTGTGGAGGACCAAATTTTGCATTAACAGTGTAGTAGTTTTGTAATTTTAATAGTTGGACTGAAACTCTAGCTCTAAATTTTACCTTTAGCCTAACATAAATCACAAGAACTCTATTGTAATTATTGTAATTTGTTTTGTAATTAATTATTAGTCTAAGTTAACTAGCATCAGCTTAATTTAGTAAACCATGTTTCTATTACCTTTGCAAACTTAACTTTGCACGTTTAGGGTTTATGGCACCTTTAAGAGAACGAGATTCTAGGGTTTAGGAGATTTCCACGATGAGGCCGCAGCGGCAAGCGCGATCCAGCATTTCCTACGCCGAGAGCGTCTCTGACGACGACGATGAAGATTTCTCGGCGCTGCCCGTGAGAACCAGCACAAGGCGGCGGCCGGAGCGTGAGAGCAGAAGCTCGGCAGCAGCAGCAGCAGCAGCACACAAGAAGAAGAAGGTATGAGTCTGTGCGAGAGAGATTTTGGAGCTGTGGCGCTCATTCCTTTGTTCCAGGCGAGGCCAAATCCAAAGGTACTCACCCACACTCTGCTTCGTTTGGGTTTGCGTTTTCTCTTGTTTTTCCTTTTGCTTTGGAGAGAGGAAATTTATCCGCAGAATTTTATTTTTTTCCAGGAACGGGCAGAGGCAATGCAGCTTGAGCGGGCCATCAGAGAGTCACTCAATGATGTAGCGGTGGCCTCAGAGATCTCGACGGCCAATTTTGTTTCTTCGTCGCCCACAAATCCATCCATTGCGTTCCAGTGCTTGCTCGATGTTACTTACGAAGAAGGTCGCTCAAGAGCTTTTGAGCTACAAGAACCTGGCGAGGTATTCTTTCTTCGCTGATTTTGTTTCCTTCTCATTTAGAATGCTCGTTTCCAGGCAGCTGATGTAGGAGACCGCACGAAACAGTACGAGGTACTACTCTTTCGCCTTTTCTATTCTTTTGCTCCTTGACCGTGACAATTATGTGGTTTCTTGCTTGTAGCCAAGTGGTGCAGGAAATCTCACGAAACAGCCACAGGTGCCTCTCTTCGCGCTTTTTCCCTTTTATGCGTTTACTTTTGATTCTTCGTTTGCAGCCGGCTGATGTAGATGATCTTGCGAAAGTGCAAGAGGTGCCACTCGATTTTTCTATTTCTTGCACAATTTTTTAGAGTTTCTCTGCAGCCAACTATGGAAGAGGATATGGTTCACGAAGAAGATCGAGCGACGCATCAAGAAGTACGTAAGTTTTATCTGTTTTTCTTCTCGTTTCTAAATTCTGTCCTTGCTGGCGACTGGAGCCCAGGTAGAAGATATGCCAGACAGCACCAAACGTAGAGTAAGTTTTTGTGCTTTACTTCTTTGCTTTAAGGAAGTGTCTGTTTGATTGGAAAGGGCGAAAAGGAAGAGCAAGGGAACGGCACGAATGCTAGCAGACATCGCGCTTCTCCGAAGAGAATTAAAAAGCGGAGAATGAATGAAGGAGAAGATGTAAGTGCTTCTTTTGGAGTAGGCGAAACCGCAAAAGGTAAGCTCTTCTTTTTTCTTATCTTTGATCAGCGCCTCCCTGGAATGTGACAGTGAAGAAGCCTGAATGTTCCTCTGCAACTCCGGGTAAGGCATGTCGCTCGTTGATTGTTGCACAACACTCTCTTTCTTTTCTACAGACGAGCTCCTGCCTCCAGTACAATCCTCGACCACTCTATCACAGCGAAGAGTAGTGGGATTGTCCAGACGTTTCAGGCCACCGTCATTACACCCTTACTTGAACAGTTGAGCAGCGCATCCTTTTCCATCTTTAGAGGTACTCTCTCGGTTTCTACATTTTCCTTGATCTCACTGTGTCATCTATAGGATATCAAAGTGGTTCGTTGAGGATATTGGAAGTTTTCCACCAAAACTGAGACGGAGAAATTCGCCATGTTTAGTCGAGCTCATCACGAAAAGCTAAGTAGCGCTTTCCTCGAGTAATAGAATATCTTATCATAGTGCGTTTTTTTATCCCTCCTTTAAACTTGAAGATTCGTGTACCAGGGGGCTTTCTCAGTCTAGTATAGGCAATTCAGGAAATACTATTCGCATTTCACTCTGGTTACAGGTGCGTTGGCAAAGCTATAGCTCTTGCCTTAGGTGCTGTCGGTGCCAAAGTAAGGCTCTTGTTTTCAAAGACTTTTCTACAGTTCCTCTCATAACGCGTTTGTCTAGGAAGTTTGTGTTCGTGGAGGAATCGTCAACGTAACGCACGGAGCCGACGGTGAGGGGCAGCAAAGGCGTTGAGATGCGTTACAAAGTCATGTAAGAACTGGTAGATGACACGAGGAGGATCTCTTGAAGCCCATCCAGGTACATGGTTCTTTCCATTTCCATCCTCCCATCACTCAAACTTGTCTCCGGGAGGAAAATCTAATTGGAAAATCGGAGGTTCGAGCGGTTTTCACGAGTGGAAGTGGACGAGTGGCGTTATGCATGGTGACGGAAGGAAAGCTGACCAAAGGCTACAAGTGAGGGAAGAAAAGCGTGCATACTGGGAGCTTGAGCTCGCTTCGACGGGTAAAAGATGTCGCCAAAGAGGTATCTACGTTTATCTCTGCTCGCTACGTCCAATTCGATCATGGTTGCTTCTCTTGTCCAAGTTCCAGGTTTTGGAATGTTGTCGATGGGTTCAACGAGTGGCAAGAAGGCGACACCATACAGGCATGGAGAAGCAAAGAACTCGCGAGGACGCGTCCGCGACTCTCTAGCCAGCGAGAAGAAACGCTCGAAATCATAAAGGTTGGAACTTAAAGTTCCATTCTCTGCGATTGTGAGTGATATCGTTTTAAATTTTGGACACAGGTCGAAAAACTGGAGAAGACTCTAATCAACTGCTCGAAAACAAGCATGTCGTCCACAGACAGTGCCAAATCGGTAAAGAACATTCTCATTGCAAGATCGGCTATGTCGTCGATGCGGTCCAGCCTGCGAAGACTGTTAACGCGAGAGACAAAATATCCCACTAATGCGGTATGTGAGCTTTGGACGTGTGTGTGTGTGTTTTTTTTTTCTCGTGTCCCGACTGACTGCACGTTCATCATTTACCCAGCCAGCTCCCTGCCGTCTTCTCCCGCGCGCAGGCACCAAGAACAGCCACAAAGATTCTCGCGTCCTTGATCCAGCATGATGGAGAAAAGTTCCAGTGCCAAATCCTTTTCTCCACTCCGAGAACTTGGTGTCAAGGCTCCGTTGTCGGTGTAACTGGAAAATCTGGGCATGATTCCGAGAGCAGGCCACAACTCTGAGATTGCGTGAGCAGCTGGCGATTGCGGAGATTGCATTGTGATTCCACAGGTTTGTCTTGGAATGAGTCGATTAACGTTTTCCATCTTTCCTCGTGAAGGTTTTGTCAGTGAATGCCGCCAAGAACTCAACAGAGCTGGTTGCCAGGCTCACACTGCGCAGACCAAGCGCACCACACCGCGGGGAATGAAGCGCCGGCGATTCTCACAGCATTGTGTTGGTGGTTTGCTGCGAGCAATAGGATGCTCGCCGATTATTTGGAAACAAAAAGTATTTCCACCAAGTCACTAGGCACTTTGTTTAATGCTTTTATTCAGACGTATTGGATTCTTTTGAATAAGAAAGGTAAGAATTGTTTGTGGAAAAAGCGGTTTCACATTTCACAGCCCTTTTGGTATAGGAAATTATAAAAAAGGCAATTGCTACATCAAGGCTAGGGTTAAACAGACTTTCAAGGGGATGGCGCTTGACGAAGGTAAGCCTCAAGAAGAGGTGCTACTTGATGCACTTTGGAAGCTGAAGGAGCTCTACGAGCTACTCAAAATACCTCCCCCACAAGAGGAAGAAGCTGCTACACCGAGCACTGAATCGATGGAGGAGCACAGGAAATTGATGGACGAGCAGATGGCACTGGTGCGATCTATGGAGGCGATGGAGTTTAACCAGGCAAGCATGGGAGACTTGTTCTCGGTGGAAAAGGAGCTGGGTCAGGGAGGCCAATCAAGTGTCTACCAAATCAAACGCAAGAGCGACGGTCAATTGTTCGCTTGTAAATCAATTCGGGTCACTGACAATCTTGAAGACCAAGCGGAGTTAGAGATGAGAGTACTCACGAAACTCTCCAAGAGCACAGCAAAAAGTGGTGTGGTTCAACTAGTGGACGTTTTCAAAGAACAAGAATACCATCACCTTGTCATGGAGTTGTGCCAGTGCTCGCTGCGAGATGTGTTGAAGGACAAGGGGAGGCTGAGTGAGCACGAGGCAGCACTGGTGATGAAGAAAGTGGCCAGGACTGTGGGCGAAATGCACGACATGGGAATAGCTCATAGGGATATCAACACTGCCAACATCCTCCTAGGGATTAAGGAGAAATTTGACAGCATAAAGGTGGCTGACTTTGGAACGTGTTGGTTGAGCGAGGGGCCAGGCGTAAAGTTTAGGATGAGCGACCTTTCTGGGACACAGGCTTACAGCGCCCCAGAGATGGTGAATTCTGATGATGAGTATGATGAGATGGTAGATGTGTGGGGCGTGGGCATTGTCTTGTATGAGATATTGTCGGGGCAGTTTGCATTCTGGGTGGGGAGGAAGGAAGTGCCGGTGACCTCCCTTGACTGGACGGATGTGAGCGAGGAAGCCAAAGATCTCATTCTCCAGCTGCTCCACTTGGACCCGAGAAAGAGGCTGCCAATCCATGAGATTGAGAAGCATCCATGGGTCGTCAAGCATTCTGCTGTACAGCAGGAATTGTGTCTGGAGATGGATTTGAAGCCGGGCTTGAAGCGAAGGCGAGGTGATCAGGAAGAAGCAGAGGAAAGTCTTGTGGCAAAGAAGGTGCGGCTTTGGAGCATAAGTTGCCTTGACAGTTTTGGAGAATGAGAATGCCATCCGAGGAGCACTACGAGCGTCTGTTGGACATGTCTGGTCGGGCCGAAAGAAATTCTATCCCAGCCACGTTGTACGGGGGAATTTTCTTGCCTTCAAGAACGAAAAAGAGAGAAAAGAATTCCTACCATACAAAATAAATGTTACCAGAAGAATTTCTACTCTGGGTATCGCTCTAGGCTTTTTGACGAGATGCACTGGCCATGCATTTCTGTGAGCTGCATTTTTGTTTTCTTGTTTGCCCCTGATCGATCGATGCCCCAGACGATATGCTCAAGCACGGCAAGAGCGACAAAGATTAGTGCGAGACTTTTTCTAAGAAGACTTACTCGTAGGTTCGGGCACTACACCATCCACTGGGAGATCGGTGCCGGCGAAGGCACCAAATCTGGATTGTGAAATCCTGTGAGTGCCTATTGTTGGAATCAGCTCTGCGATTGTGGACATGTCTTGCAACACAAATGGCTCTTCGCTCGATCGAAGGTTGTCTTTTAGATTGCTTCTATACATTCGTGAAACCGTGACGCTATGACAGGAGCTCCACTATACATGGCTCCCTAGAGCAGACTCTTGGTGTGACATTGTAAAGTTCTGTTTGTTTTACATTGACGCGCATTGTCATGAGCAGGAATGAACTCTATGTTGGCCAGCCTCCTTTTTACTCTAACTCTGTTTACAGGAGGTAATTATTGCGATTTTGTTATAACTTTAGCTATCGCTGTCGAGCAGGATCCACCTGATGCTCTCAAAAGTTTTTTGAAAGGGCTCTTTAACAAGGTTCGCTTACCGCAGGATCCAACAAAAACGTTCATAGGTTTCTGAATGGACTGAATTGACATCTGACGAAATAGCAGCACGGGTAAGATATTGCTAAAAAGTGGCCATAATTGACAAATGTGAGGAGCTGCGACTACATTCGAAAGAGGATGTGATGCTGCCTGGAAATATTGTGCTAGCATCACGGGCTAACGGCTAACGGCTAACGTAACGATCGTGCACTACACAAGGTGGAGCCAGCTCCTACCAAAAGACCAGAATCAGTGCCGTGTCCATCTAATGTCAGTCCTAGTCAGGCGTGCACAGCTCCTCTCGATAATGCTGGTAATGCTTCCATCGCTATAACAATTTTTCGTTGTCCTTCTGCAGAAGTTTCCGTGACTTGATAAGAGCTTTCTCGCGTGCCAATGCTGTTTGCCCAGACCGATGTGCTTTTGCTCAAAATTTGAAGTAAAATAAGTGAAGGAGCTGCAGCAAAGTACTACTATCGGAGCTTTTGTTACATAGTGACCAAGCAAGTGGGGGACTACTAAACCATTGCGTGCCTTATTTGGCGCAGGAGCTGTATCACAAAGAGCGTTTCAGATTGATATGCATTTGTGGACGTCTTGACCAGCTTCCGGAGAAGCATGTAGGCAATGTGGGTGTGGCCTAAATCTTTTGACTGGTAAAGAAGCTCATCCTCAAGTTAATTCTGAGAGGCTGGACAGAAAGCTAAGAACGACAGTAACAAGTTGTCCAATTGGCATGTATACACTTGAAGGTGTTCAGGCTGGCCTCTTACATTCGCTCTACGTTGTCTTCTACACTTTAGGTGTGTTTGTTGATTTTTTTCTGTTGATAGTTGTTTGTTTCAAGATTCTTTTAACCTGGTACATACTTTAGCCAATTGTCCACTGGTATCTCAGTTAAAAAGATCGTGCTTCGAATCAAACTCCAGGTGGTGCTGACGGCACTGTGGTTGCTGCGATATTCAGCATGCTATCTGAGTATTTGGCGAGCAGTCAGGGAGGTGGCAACAAAGGTTCTGGTATTGACGGCGGTCTTTTCTTTCACACTTGCGGCTATTGCTCACGGGTTGGCAGCACAGGGAAGACTGAGCTTGTCATCGATGCTTACAACGTCAGTTCCTACAGTAGCTGAGCGACCTCGCTCAGCTGCTGTGGGCAGCGATTCTTATGCTGGAAAAGAAATGCAGACCGTTCCTCCGTGATCTCGGATGCAAGGAAGTTCGTTGCCATGGTTTGGAAAGCTCTCTGGGCCTTCTTAGCCATGGCGACGACAGGTTTGCATGGGAAAAGAACATCTCTATCTAGGAAGCACTCCAAAGACAGCGAATGACTGCTCCGAACTGAAGCCTTTGAAGGTGGTGGGATTATCTCCCTCCCGGCGTCTTATATGCAATTTCAGCTCTCGAAGCGGCATTTAACGCAGCTGCAAGTTTGGGAAGGATACAACGGGGCTTTTCACCATACTTATCAACGCCATCATGTCCCTGTACTGGCAGCTTCTGCACGAGGTCTCGGAGCTTTGGACGTGTGTGTGTGTGTGTTTTTTTTTTCTCGTGTCCCGACTGACTGCACGTTCATCATTTACCCAGCCAGCTCCCTGCCGTCTTCTCCCGCGCGCAGGCACCAAGAACAGCCACAAAGATTCTCGCGTCCTTGATCCAGCATGATGGAGAAAAGTTCCAGTGCCAAATCCTTTTCTCCACTCCGAGAACTTGGTGTCAAGGCTCCGTTGTCGGTGTAACTGGAAAATCTGGGCATGATTCCGAGAGCAGGCCACAACTCTGAGATTGCGTGAGCAGCTGGCGATTGCGGAGATTGCATTGTGATTCCACAGGTTTGTCTTGGAATGAGTCGATTAACGTTTTCCATCTTTCCTCGTGAAGGTTTTGTCAGTGAATGCCGCCAAGAACTCAACAGAGCTGGTTGCCAGGCTCACACTGCGCAGACCAAGCGCACCACACCGCGGGGAATGAAGCGCCGGCGATTTTCACAGCATTGTGTTGGTGGTTTGCTGCGAGCAATAGGATGCTCGCCGATTATTTGGAAACAGAAAGTATTTCCACCAAGTCACTAGGCACTTTGTTTAATGCTTTTATTCAGACGTATTGGATTCTTTTGAATAAGAAAGGTAAGAATTGTTTGTGGAAAAAGCGGTTTCACATTTCACAGCCCTTTTGGTATAGGAAATTATAAAAAAGGCAATTGCTACATCAAGGCTAGGGTTAAACAGACTTTCAAGGGGATGGCGCTTGACGAAGGTAAGCCTCAAGAAGAGGTGCTACTTGATGCACTTTGGAAGCTGAAGGAGCTCTACGAGCTACTCAAAATACCTCCCCCACAAGAGGAAGAAGCTGCTACACCGAGCACTGAATCGATGGAGGAGCACAGGAAATTGATGGACGAGCAGATGGCACTGGTGCGATCTATGGAGGCGATGGAGTTTAACCAGGCAAGCATGGGAGACTTGTTCTCGGTGGAAAAGGAGCTGGGTCAGGGAGGCCAATCAAGTGTCTACCAAATCAAACGCAAGAGCGACGGTCAATTGTTCGCTTGTAAATCAATTCGGGTCACTGACAATCTTGAAGACCAAGCGGAGTTAGAGATGAGAGTACTCACGAAACTCTCCAAGAGCACAGCAAAAAGTGGTGTGGTTCAACTAGTGGACGTTTTCAAAGAACAAGAATACCATCACCTTGTCATGGAGTTGTGCCAGTGCTCGCTGCGAGATGTGTTGAAGGACAAGGGGAGGCTGAGTGAGCACGAGGCAGCACTGGTGATGAAGAAAGTGGCCAGGACTGTGGGCGAAATGCACGACATGGGAATAGCTCATAGGGATATCAACACTGCCAACATCCTCCTAGGGATTAAGGAGAAATTTGACAGCATAAAGGTGGCTGACTTTGGAACGTGTTGGTTGAGCGAGGGGCCAGGCGTAAAGTTTAGGATGAGCGACCTTTCTGGGACACAGGCTTACAGCGCCCCAGAGATGGTGAATTCTGATGATGAGTATGATGAGATGGTAGATGTGTGGGGCGTGGGCATTGTCTTGTATGAGATATTGTCGGGGCAGTTTGCATTCTGGGTGGGGAGGAAGGAAGTGCCGGTGACCTCCCTTGACTGGACGGATGTGAGCGAGGAAGCCAAAGATCTCATTCTCCAGCTGCTCCACTTGGACCCGAGAAAGAGGCTGCCAATCCATGAGATTGAGAAGCATCCATGGGTCGTCAAGCATTCTGCTGTACAGCAGGAATTGTGTCTGGAGATGGATTTGAAGCCGGGCTTGAAGCGAAGGCGAGGTGATCAGGAAGAAGCAGAGGAAAGTCTTGTGGCAAAGAAGGTGCGGCTTTGGAGCATAAGTTGCCTTGACAGTTTTGGAGAATGAGAATGCCATCCGAGGAGCACTACGAGCGTCTGTTGGACATGTCTGGTCGGGCCGAAAGAAATTCTATCCCAGCCACGTTGTACGGGGGAATTTTCTTGCCTTCAAGAACGAAAAAGAGAGAAAAGAATTCCTACCATACAAAATAAATGTTACCAGAAGAATTTCTACTCTGGGTATCGCTCTAGGCTTTTTGACGAGATGCACTGGCCATGCATTTCTGTGAGCTGCATTTTTGTTTTCTTGTTTGCCCCTGATCGATCGATGCCCCAGACGATATGCTCAAGCACGGCAAGAGCGACAAAGATTAGTGCGAGACTTTTTCTAAGAAGACTTACTCGTAGGTTCGGGCACTACACCATCCACTGGGAGATCGGTGCCGGCGAAGGCACCAAATCTGGATTGTGAAATCCTGTGAGTGCCTATTGTTGGAATCAGCTCTGCGATTGTGGACATGTCTTGCAACACAAATGGCTCTTCGCTCGATCGAAGGTTGTCTTTTAGATTGCTTCTATACATTCGTGAAACCGTGACGCTATGACAGGAGCTCCACTATACATGGCTCCCTAGAGCAGACTCTTGGTGTGACATTGTAAAGTTCTGTTTGTTTTACATTGACGCGCATTGTCATGAGCAGGAATGAACTCTATGTTGGCCAGCCTCCTTTTTACTCTAACTCTGTTTACAGGAGGTAATTATTGCGATTTTGTTATAACTTTAGCTATCGCTGTCGAGCAGGATCCACCTGATGCTCTCAAAAGTTTTTTGAAAGGGCTCTTTAACAAGGTTCGCTTACCGCAGGATCCAACAAAAACGTTCATAGGTTTCTGAATGGACTGAATTGACATCTGACGAAATAGCAGCACGGGTAAGATATTGCTAAAAAGTGGCCATAATTGACAAATGTGAGGAGCTGCGACTACATTCGAAAGAGGATGTGATGCTGCCTGGAAATATTGTGCTAGCATCACGGGCTAACGGCTAACGGCTAACGTAACGATCGTGCACTACACAAGGTGGAGCCAGCTCCTACCAAAAGACCAGAATCAGTGCCGTGTCCATCTAATGTCAGTCCTAGTCAGGCGTGCACAGCTCCTCTCGATAATGCTGGTAATGCTTCCATCGCTATAACAATTTTTCGTTGTCCTTCTGCAGAAGTTTCCGTGACTTGATAAGAGCTTTCTCGCGTGCCAATGCTGTTTGCCCAGACCGATGTGCTTTTGCTCAAAATTTGAAGTAAAATAAGTGAAGGAGCTGCAGCAAAGTACTACTATCGGAGCTTTTGTTACATAGTGAGCAAGCAAGTGGGGGACTACTAAACCATTGCGTGCCTTATTTGGCGCAGGAGCTGTATCACAAAGAGCGTTTCAGATTGATATGCATTTGTGGACGTCTTGACCAGCTTCCGGAGAAGCATGTAGGCAATGTGGGTGTGGCCTAAATCTTTTGACTGGTAAAGAAGCTCATCCTCAAGTTAATTCTGAGAGGCTGGACAGAAAGCTAAGAACGACAGTAACAAGTTGTCCAATTGGCATGTATACACTTGAAGGTGTTCAGGCTGGCCTCTTACATTCGCTCTACGTTGTCTTCTACACTTTAGGTGTGTTTGTTGATTTTTTTCTGTTGATAGTTGTTTGTTTCAAGATTCTTTTAACCTGGTACATACTTTAGCCAATTGTCCACTGGTATCTCAGTTAAAAAGATCGTGCTTCGAATCAAACTCCAGGTGGTGCTGACGGCACTGTGGTTGCTGCGATATTCAGCATGCTATCTGAGTATTTGGCGAGCAGTCAGGGAGGTGGCAACAAAGGTTCTGGTATTGACGGCGGTCTTTTCTTTCACACTTGCGGCTATTGCTCACGGGTTGGCAGCACAAGGAAGACTGAGCTTGTCATCGATGCTTACAACGTCAGTTCCTACAGTAGCTGAGCGACCTCGCTCAGCTGCTGTGGGCAGCGATTCTTATGCTGGAAAAGAAATGCAGACCGTTCCTCCGTGATCTCGGATGCAAGGAAGTTCGTTGCCATGGTTTGGAAAGCTCTCTGGGCCTTCTTAGCCATGGCGACGACAGGTTTGCATGGGAAAAGAACATCTCTATCTAGGAAGCACTCCAAAGACAGCGAATGACTGCTCCGAACTGAAGCCTTTGAAGGTGGTGGGATTATCTCCCTCCCGGCGTCTTATATGCAATTTCAGCTCTCGAAGCGGCATTTAACGCAGCTGCAAGTTTGGGAAGGATACAACGGGGCTTTTCACCATACTTATCAACGCCATCATGTCCCTGTACTGGCAGCTTCTGCACGAGGTCTCGGAGCTTTGGACGTGTGTGTGTGTGTGTTTTTTTTTTCTCGTGTCCCGACTGACTGCACGTTCATCATTTACCCAGCCAGCTCCCTGCCGTCTTCTCCCGCGCGCAGGCACCAAGAACAGCCACAAAGATTCTCGCGTCCTTGATCCAGCATGATGGAGAAAAGTTCCAGTGCCAAATCCTTTTCTCCACTCCGAGAACTTGGTGTCAAGGCTCCGTTGTCGGTGTAACTGGAAAATCTGGGCATGATTCCGAGAGCAGGCCACAACTCTGAGATTGCGTGAGCAGCTGGCGATTGCGGAGATTGCATTGTGATTCCACAGGTTTGTCTTGGAATGAGTCGATTAACGTTTTCCATCTTTCCTCGTGAAGGTTTTGTCAGTGAATGCCGCCAAGAACTCAACAGAGCTGGTTGCCAGGCTCACACTGCGCAGACCAAGCGCACCACACCGCGGGGAATGAAGCGCCGGCGATTTTCACAGCATTGTGTTGGTGGTTTGCTGCGAGCAATAGGATGCTCGCCGATTATTTGGAAACAGAAAGTATTTCCACCAAGTCACTAGGCACTTTGTTTAATGCTTTTATTCAGACGTATTGGATTCTTTTGAATAAGAAAGGTAAGAATTGTTTGTGGAAAAAGCGGTTTCACATTTCACAGCCCTTTTGGTATAGGAAATTATAAAAAAGGCAATTGCTACATCAAGGCTAGGGTTAAACAGACTTTCAAGGGGATGGCGCTTGACGAAGGTAAGCCTCAAGAAGAGGTGCTACTTGATGCACTTTGGAAGCTGAAGGAGCTCTACGAGCTACTCAAAATACCTCCCCCACAAGAGGAAGAAGCTGCTACACCGAGCACTGAATCGATGGAGGAGCACAGGAAATTGATGGACGAGCAGATGGCACTGGTGCGATCTATGGAGGCGATGGAGTTTAACCAGGCAAGCATGGGAGACTTGTTCTCGGTGGAAAAGGAGCTGGGTCAGGGAGGCCAATCAAGTGTCTACCAAATCAAACGCAAGAGCGACGGTCAATTGTTCGCTTGTAAATCAATTCGGGTCACTGACAATCTTGAAGACCAAGCGGAGTTAGAGATGAGAGTACTCACGAAACTCTCCAAGAGCACAGCAAAAAGTGGTGTGGTTCAACTAGTGGACGTTTTCAAAGAACAAGAATACCATCACCTTGTCATGGAGTTGTGCCAGTGCTCGCTGCGAGATGTGTTGAAGGACAAGGGGAGGCTGAGTGAGCACGAGGCAGCACTGGTGATGAAGAAAGTGGCCAGGACTGTGGGCGAAATGCACGACATGGGAATAGCTCATAGGGATATCAACACTGCCAACATCCTCCTAGGGATTAAGGAGAAATTTGACAGCATAAAGGTGGCTGACTTTGGAACGTGTTGGTTGAGCGAGGGGCCAGGCGTAAAGTTTAGGATGAGCGACCTTTCTGGGACACAGGCTTACAGCGCCCCAGAGATGGTGAATTCTGATGATGAGTATGATGAGATGGTAGATGTGTGGGGCGTGGGCATTGTCTTGTATGAGATATTGTCGGGGCAGTTTGCATTCTGGGTGGGGAGGAAGGAAGTGCCGGTGACCTCCCTTGACTGGACGGATGTGAGCGAGGAAGCCAAAGATCTCATTCTCCAGCTGCTCCACTTGGACCCGAGAAAGAGGCTGCCAATCCATGAGATTGAGAAGCATCCATGGGTCGTCAAGCATTCTGCTGTACAGCAGGAATTGTGTCTGGAGATGGATTTGAAGCCGGGCTTGAAGCGAAGGCGAGGTGATCAGGAAGAAGCAGAGGAAAGTCTTGTGGCAAAGAAGGTGCGGCTTTGGAGCATAAGTTGCCTTGACAGTTTTGGAGAATGAGAATGCCATCCGAGGAGCACTACGAGCGTCTGTTGGACATGTCTGGTCGGGCCGAAAGAAATTCTATCCCAGCCACGTTGTACGGGGGAATTTTCTTGCCTTCAAGAACGAAAAAGAGAGAAAAGAATTCCTACCATACAAAATAAATGTTACCAGAAGAATTTCTACTCTGGGTATCGCTCTAGGCTTTTTGACGAGATGCACTGGCCATGCATTTCTGTGAGCTGCATTTTTGTTTTCTTGTTTGCCCCTGATCGATCGATGCCCCAGACGATATGCTCAAGCACGGCAAGAGCGACAAAGATTAGTGCGAGACTTTTTCTAAGAAGACTTACTCGTAGGTTCGGGCACTACACCATCCACTGGGAGATCGGTGCCGGCGAAGGCACCAAATCTGGATTGTGAAATCCTGTGAGTGCCTATTGTTGGAATCAGCTCTGCGATTGTGGACATGTCTTGCAACACAAATGGCTCTTCGCTCGATCGAAGGTTGTCTTTTAGATTGCTTCTATACATTCGTGAAACCGTGACGCTATGACAGGAGCTCCACTATACATGGCTCCCTAGAGCAGACTCTTGGTGTGACATTGTAAAGTTCTGTTTGTTTTACATTGACGCGCATTGTCATGAGCAGGAATGAACTCTATGTTGGCCAGCCTCCTTTTTACTCTAACTCTGTTTACAGGAGGTAATTGTTGCGATTTTGTTATAACTTTAGCTATCGCTGTCGAGCAGGATCCACCTGATGCTCTCAAAAGTTTTTTGAAAGGGCTCTTTAACAAGGTTCGCTTACCGCAGGATCCAACAAAAACGTTCATAGGTTTCTGAATGGACTGAATTGACATCTGACGAAATAGCAGCACGGGTAAGATATTGCTAAAAAGTGGCCATAATTGACAAATGTGAGGAGCTGCGACTACATTCGAAAGAGGATGTGATGCTGCCTGGAAATATTGTGCTAGCATCACGGGCTAACGGCTAACGGCTAACGTAACGATCGTGCACTACACAAGGTGGAGCCAGCTCCTACCAAAAGACCAGAATCAGTGCCGTGTCCATCTAATGTCAGTCCTAGTCAGGCGTGCACAGCTCCTCTCGATAATGCTGGTAATGCTTCCATCGCTATAACAATTTTTCGTTGTCCTTCTGCAGAAGTTTCCGTGACTTGATAAGAGCTTTCTCGCGTGCCAATGCTGTTTGCCCAGACCGATGTGCTTTTGCTCAAAATTTGAAGTAAAATAAGTGAAGGAGCTGCAGCAAAGTACTACTATCGGAGCTTTTGTTACATAGTGAGCAAGCAAGTGGGGGACTACTAAACCATTGCGTGCCTTATTTGGCGCAGGAGCTGTATCACAAAGAGCGTTTCAGATTGATATGCATTTGTGGACGTCTTGACCAGCTTCCGGAGAAGCATGTAGGCAATGTGGGTGTGGCCTAAATCTTTTGACTGGTAAAGAAGCTCATCCTCAAGTTAATTCTGAGAGGCTGGACAGAAAGCTAAGAACGACAGTAACAAGTTGTCCAATTGGCATGTATACACTTGAAGGTGTTCAGGCTGGCCTCTTACATTCGCTCTACGTTGTCTTCTACACTTTAGGTGTGTTTGTTGATTTTTTTCTGTTGATAGTTGTTTGTTTCAAGATTCTTTTAACCTGGTACATACTTTAGCCAATTGTCCACTGGTATCTCAGTTAAAAAGATCGTGCTTCGAATCAAACTCCAGGTGGTGCTGACGGCACTGTGGTTGCTGCGATATTCAGCATGCTATCTGAGTATTTGGCGAGCAGTCAGGGAGGTGGCAACAAAGGTTCTGGTATTGACGGCGGTCTTTTCTTTCACACTTGCGGCTATTGCTCACGGGTTGGCAGCACAAGGAAGACTGAGCTTGTCATCGATGCTTACAACGTCAGTTCCTACAGTAGCTGAGCGACCTCGCTCAGCTGCTGTGGGCAGCGATTCTTATGCTGGAAAAGAAATGCAGACCGTTCCTCCGTGATCTCGGATGCAAGGAAGTTCGTTGCCATGGTTTGGAAAGCTCTCTGGGCCTTCTTAGCCATGGCGACGACAGGTTTGCATGGGAAAAGAACATCTCTATCTAGGAAGCACTCCAAAGACAGCGAATGACTGCTCCGAACTGAAGCCTTTGAAGGTGGTGGGATTATCTCCCTCCCGGCGTCTTATATGCAATTTCAGCTCTCGAAGCGGCATTTAACGCAGCTGCAAGTTTGGGAAGGATACAACGGGGCTTTTCACCACACTTATCAACGCCATCATGTCCCTGTACTGGCAGCTTCTGCACGAGGTCTCGGAGCTTTGGACGTGTGTGTGTGTGTGTTTTTTTTTTCTCGTGTCCCGACTGACTGCACGTTCATCATTTACCCAGCCAGCTCCCTGCCGTCTTCTCCCGCGCGCAGGCACCAAGAACAGCCACAAAGATTCTCGCGTCCTTGATCCAGCATGATGGAGAAAAGTTCCAGTGCCAAATCCTTTTCTCCACTCCGAGAACTTGGTGTCAAGGCTCCGTTGTCGGTGTAACTGGAAAATCTGGGCATGATTCCGAGAGCAGGCCACAACTCTGAGATTGCGTGAGCAGCTGGCGATTGCGGAGATTGCATTGTGATTCCACAGGTTTGTCTTGGAATGAGTCGATTAACGTTTTCCATCTTTCCTCGTGAAGGTTTTGTCAGTGAATGCCGCCAAGAACTCAACAGAGCTGGTTGCCAGGCTCACACTGCGCAGACCAAGCGCACCACACCGCGGGGAATGAAGCGCCGGCGATTTTCACAGCATTGTGTTGGTGGTTTGCTGCGAGCAATAGGATGCTCGCCGATTATTTGGAAACAGAAAGTATTTCCACCAAGTCACTAGGCACTTTGTTTAATGCTTTTATTCAGACGTATTGGATTCTTTTGAATAAGAAAGGTAAGAATTGTTTGTGGAAAAAGCGGTTTCACATTTCACAGCCCTTTTGGTATAGGAAATTATAAAAAAGGCAATTGCTACATCAAGGCTAGGGTTAAACAGACTTTCAAGGGGATGGCGCTTGACGAAGGTAAGCCTCAAGAAGAGGTGCTACTTGATGCACTTTGGAAGCTGAAGGAGCTCTACGAGCTACTCAAAATACCTCCCCCACAAGACGAAGAAGCTGCTACACCGAGCACTGAATCGATGGAGGAGCACAGGAAATTGATGGACGAGCAGATGGCACTGGTGCGATCTATGGAGGCGATGGAGTTTAACCAGGCAAGCATGGGAGACTTGTTCTCGGTGGAAAAGGAGCTGGGTCAGGGAGGCCAATCAAGTGTCTGCCAAATCAAACGCAAGAGCGACGGTCAATTGTTCGCTTGTAAATCAATTCGAGTCACCGACAATCTTGAAGACCAAGCGGAGTTGGAGATGAGAGTACTCACGAAACTCTCCAAGAGCACAGCAAAAAGTGGTGTGGTTCAACTAGTGGACGTTTTCAAAGAACAAGAATACTATCACCTTGTCATGGAGTTGTGCCAGTGCTCGCTGCGAGATGTGTTGAAGGACAAGGGGAGGCTGAGTGAGCACGAGGCAGCACTGGTGATAAAGAAAGTGGCCAGGACTGTGGGCGAAATGCACGACATGGGAATAGCTCATAGGGATATCAACACTGCCAACATCCTCCTAGGGATTAAGGAGAAATTTGACAGCATAAAGGTGGCTGACTTTGGAACGTGTTGGTTGAGCGAGGGGCCAGGCGTAAAGTTTAGGATGAGCGACCTTTCTGGGACACAGGCTTACAGCGCCCCAGAGATGGTGAATTCTGATGATGAGTATGATGAGATGGTAGATGTGTGGGGCGTGGGCATTGTCTTGTATGAGATATTGTCGGGGCAGTTTGCATTCTGGGTGGGGAGGAAGGAAGTGCCGGTGACCTCCCTTGACTGGACGGATGTGAGCGAGGAAGCCAAAGATCTCATTCTCCAGCTGCTCCACTTGGACCCGAGAAAGAGGCTGCCAATCCATGAGATTGAGAAGCATCCATGGGTCGTCAAGCATTCTGCTGTACAGCAGGAATTGTGTCTGGAGATGGATTTGAAGCCGGGCTTGAAGCGAAGGCGAGGTGATCAGGAAGAAGCAGAGGAAAGTCTTGTGGCAAAGAAGGTGCGGCTTTGGAGCATAAGTTGCCTTGACAGTTTTGGAGAATGAGAATGCCATCCGAGGAGCACTACGAGCGTCTGTTGGACATGTCTGGTCGGGCCGAAAGAAATTCTATCCCAGCCACGTTGTACGGGGGAATTTTCTTGCCTTCAAGAACGAAAAAGAGAGAAAAGAATTCCTACCATACAAAATAAATGTTACCAGAAGAATTTCTACTCTGGGTATCGCTCTAGGCTTTTTGACGAGATGCACTGGCCATGCATTTCTGTGAGCTGCATTTTTGTTTTCTTGTTTGCCCCTGATCGATCGATGCCCCAGACGATATGCTCAAGCACGGCAAGAGCGACAAAGATTAGTGCGAGACTTTTTCTAAGAAGACTTACTCGTAGGTTCGGGCACTACACCATCCACTGGGAGATCGGTGCCGGTGAAGGCACCACTTCTGGATTGTGAAATGCTGTGAGTGTCTATTGTTGGAATCAGCTCTGCGATTGTGGACATGTCTTGCAACACAAATGGTTCTTCGCTCGATCGAAGGTTGTCTTTTAGATTGCTTCTATACATTCGTGAAACCGTGACGCTGTGACAGGAGCTCCACTATACATGGCTCCCTAGAGCAGACTCTTGGTGTGATATTGTAAAGTTCTGTTTGTTTTACATTGACGCGCATTGTCATGAGCAGGAATGAACTCTATGTTGGCCAGTCTCCTTTTTACTCTAACTCTGTTTACAGGAGGTAATTGTTGCGATTTTGTTATAACTTTAGCTATCGCTGTCGAGCAGGATCCACCTGATGCTCTCAAAAGTTTTTTGAAAGGGCTCTTTAACAAGGTTCGCTTACCGCAGGATCCAACAAAAACGTTCATAGGTTTCTGAATGGACTGAATTGACATCTGACGAAATAGCAGCATGGGTAAGATATTGCTAAAAAGAGGCCATAATTGACAAATGTGGGGAGCTGCGACTACATTCGAAAGAGGATGTGATGCTGCCTGGAAATATTGTGCTAGCATCACCGGGTAACGTAACGATCGTGCACTACACAAGGTGGAGCCAGCTTCTACCAAAAGACCAGAATCAGTGCCGTGTCCATCTAATGTCAGTACTAGTCAGGCGTGCACAGCTCCTCTCGATAATGCTAGTAATGCTTCTATCGCTATAACAATTTTTCATTGTCCTTCTGCAGAAGTTTCCGTGACTTGATAAGAGCTTTCTCGCGTGCCAATGCTGTTTGCCCAGACCGATGTGCTTTTGCTCAAAATTTAAAGTAAAATAAGTGAAGGAGCTGCAGCAAAGTACTACTATCAGAGCTTTTGTTACATAGTGAGCAAGCAAGTGGGGGAGTAATAAACCATTGCATGCCTTATTTGGCGCAGGAGCTGTATCACAAAGAGCATTTCAGATTGATATGCATTTGTGGACGTCTTGACCAGCTTCCGGAGAAGCATGTAGGCAATGTGGGTGTGGCCTGAATCTTTTGACTGGTAAAGAAGCTCATCCTCAAGTCAATTCTGAGAGGCTGGACAGAAAGCTAAGAACGACAGTAATAAGTTGTCCAATTGGCATCTATACACTTGAAGGTGTTCAGGCTGGCCTCTGTCATTCGCTCTACGTTGTCTTCTACACTTTAGGTGTGTTGATTTTTTTTTGTTGATAGTTGTTTGTTTCAAGATTCTTTTAACCTGGTACATACTTTAGCCAATTGTCCACTGGTATCTCAGTTAAAAAGATCGTGCTTCGAATCAAACTCCAGGTGGTGCTGACGGCACTGTGGTTGCTGCGATATTCAGCATGCTATCTGAGTATTTGGCGAGCAGTCAGGGAGGTGGCAACAAAGGTTCTGGTATTGACGGCGGTCTTTTCTTTCACACTTGCGGCTATTGCTCACGGGTTGGCAGCACAAGGAAGACTGAGCTTGTCATCGATGCTTACAACTTCAGTTCCTACAGTAGCTGAGCAACCTCGCTCAGCTGCTGTGGGCAGCCATTCTTATGCTGGAAAAAAAAATGCAGACCGTTCCTCCGTGATCTCGGATGCAAGGAAGTTCGTTGCCATGGTTGGGAAAGCTCTCTTGGCCTTCTTAGCCATGGCGACGACAGGTTTGTATGGGAAAAGAACATCTCTACCTAGGAAGCACTCCAAAGACAGCGAATGACTGCTCCGAACTGAAGCCTTTGAAGGTGGTGGGATTATCTCCCTCCCGGCGTCTTATATGCAATTTCAGCTCTCGAAGCGGCATTTAACGCAGCTGCAAGTTTGGGAAGGATACAACGGGGCGTTTCACCACACTTATCAACGCCAGCATGTCTCTGTACTGGCAGCTTCTGCACGAGGTCTCGGTTGCAGAACAGCTTGTTTTTTCTAATACGTTTCAGCTTTTGTGAGATGCTTGGAGTTTCTTGGCATGAAGGACATGTGCCATTGACACTGTGAAAGGATGTTTTCTGTCCCGCGAAGGCAATTGTCTGTCTTCTCTGCAGTGCAGTGTTTCCTTACGTGAATCTCGATTTGCAGCAGACGATCCTATGTATACCCCACTGCCGCAGTTCCTTTTTCATGGAGAAGTAGCTTCTCACTTGAAGGTAGAGTGCAATGTGCCTCTTCTTCCGATGGCTGGTAACGTTTTTTCTTCGTCCCAGCTCGCAAACTTGGATGGGAAGCAACTCTCTTAGAATTTATGGGGTAAAAGCTCAAAGGCTTTGAGAACAATCAAAAGCAGATGGTACAACTTGACAATCCTACAACGCGGAAGATGCAGAGTGACAAAGCTCGTGCAAGAGCTCAGCTCCGCATCCAGTGATGGTCTCTCAGGAAACACCGAAGTGGGATCATGTACTTCAAGTGAGCCTGGCTTGCATTTGAGGTGGGGAGCATTGTTTCACAGGTGAGATAAGCGAGCTGAAGAAATCATCGAAGCATTGCTGAGCATTGGCATTCTGAGTCCATACAGCGGTTTCATACGCTCGGTTGCGAGAGCTTTCGAAGGTGCTCGAGCTCTCGAGCACTTGTGGTGGAGTTGTAGTTAATAGATAATAGTAACGCGGAATATCCCATGACAACCGGCTGCTGTCGGTGGAGCAACCGACCGCCGTTGGATGGGGTTTCGAAATTGGAGGCTGGGATTAGCCCTACAGCCGCGCCGCGCCTTTCAAGGATCCATGGCGTCGCTGTGCTCGGCTTGCAAGGCGGCGCTGGCCCCTTGTGGTGTGAGGTGCGTCGTTTTTACATTTTTCAGGCTAACAGGCGGTGTGAATGATCTCGGAAGATTGTGCACTGACTGACCATGTTCGTGTTCCAAAGCAAGCAAACTGCTGTTCGGTTCTGAAGGTCAGACTTTGAGGATATTGCAGATCGTGAGCTTGCTCAGCGACGTTCTCGACAGCATGATGATTCCTGTTTCTCTGCACTCCCTAAGGTGCATCAGGTCCTCAACACGTTGTTCGATCTCTCCCGACGGGCAAAGGTAATAGCACAAAAGAAAGGACTTAGAAGGCTCTAGGAAGTTGCTTTGTGATTCTGAAGGTTTGCATTCGAATGCAGGTTTGCTTACCCTTTAAAGATATTAAAGATAAGTGTCTTTCTAAGGAAATGGACGCTGGCTGGTTTTCTAGGAGAGAAGAAATGGATGCTGATCAGAAATCTGGGTGCTTGAAGAGGGAAGTATGGAGTTGTGATGACGGCGGGATGGACTAGAGCGAGGTAAGGAGTCGTTAAATGTGAATTCTTTGTTGATGATCCTCTTCTCCTTCCCAAGTTGTGCAAGCTCCCCTCTCTTGCTATGCTTGCGGAAAATTGGAGGACAGTGCTCTTGGAAAATCATCAGAGGACGGTGCTCGTGGAAAATTGGAGGATGGCACTCATGGAAAAATAATTGGAGGACAGTGGTTGTGGAAAAGACTTGGAGGATAACACTTTTGTTTCTGGAAAATCATCAGAGGACAATATTCATGCTTGCAGAAAAGAATTAGGGGATGGCAACTACGGCAAAAGTGAGGTGAGTTGTGAAAGGTGAATTCTTTCTTGATTTTTTAAGCTGCAAGAGAAGAATGTTTTTCCAGCATTAACAGGGCAAGATCTAATAAGTTTGTTTCTTCATTATTAATTGATATGGTTTGTTTTTTAAGATTTTGTGCAGACTCTTAGCACTTGTCTAAAGATTCCAGACATGAATGCAAGCTTTTGGGATTCAAGATGATAACATTGAAAAATAACTTAATTATGTCATCACCATCTTGGGGGAGTCAAATGGCATATGCTAATTGGGTTGCATGGTTTGATGAGGAAAATGAGCGGCTTACAAAACTCTTGACAAGCCTTTTGTTCTCATCTTGAATCCCAAAAGTTTACATTTGTGTCTGGAATCCTTCGGTAAGTGCTAAGAGTTTTCGCAAAATCTTAAAAAACAAACAATATCAATCAACAATATATACAATGAAGAAATAGACTCACTAACTTTTGCCTTATTAATGTTGGAAAAACATTCTTTTCTTGCAGCTTCGAGAGAAAAACCAAAGAAGTCAAAAAAGAATTCACCTTTCACAATTCACTTTACTTTTGTTGTAGTTGTTGTCCCCCAATTCTTTTCTGTGAGCACGAGTGTTAATACTTCGATGATTTTCCGGGAGCAAGAGTGTTATCCTTTTATTCTTTTCCACAACTGCTATCCTTTATAATTTTCCACGAGTGCCATCCTCTGATTTTCCATGAGCGCTCTTAGAAAAAGGCTCCTCAAGACTTACTTGTAGGTTCAATTAGTCCCCCACTGGTTTGATATGTAACAAAGCTCTAATGGTAATATTAGTTTCATACCTTATTGCAGCTCCTTCACTATTTTACTTCAAATTTTTGAAAAGGATGTAAAACATAAGTTAAAGCACATCAGTCTGGGTAAATAGCATTGGTACGCAAGAAAGCTCTAAAGTAAAGACAATGAAAATCAATACTAAGCATTATCGAGAGGAGCTGTGCATGCCTGAGTAGTACTGTCATTATATGGACAGGGCACTGATTCTGGTCTTTTGGTAGGAGCTGGCTCCTATTGGTGCACGATCGAGTACATTAGTAGGTGATTCTAGCACAATATTTCCAGGCAGCGTCACATCCTCTTTCAAATGCAGTCGCAGCTCCTGCTTCCTGCACCACATTTGTCAACTATGGCCTCTTCTTACCCATGACGAGAGCTACTGGAGTGGCATTGCTCCTGGAAAGAACTGGTGCTGCTATTTCGTCAGATATCTCCTCCAACAATTCAGTCTACAATTCAGTTTAGAAATTTATGAACATCCTGTGGGGTAACCCAGTAAGCGAACCTTGTTTTCAAAAAGCTTTTGAAGTTCGAGTTGAGAGAATTAGGTGCATCCTGCTTGACAGCAATAGCTAAAGTTATAACAAAATTGCAACAATTAGCTTCACTCTATGGCGAATAAGCATGTAAACAGAGTTAGAGTAATAAGGAGGCTGGCCAACATAGAGTTCATTCCTACTTATGACAATGTGCGTTCTGTTTGTGAAACAAACAGAACCTTACAATATCACACCAAGAGTCCATACATCTACCATGTGGTTATAAAGCTGCTCTAGGGAGCCATGTATAGTGGCGCTCCTGTCATAGAGTCATGTATAGAAGCAATCTAAAAGACATCACAGGAGACTAAGATTGTAGGAGAGCTGATTGTCTTTGCTCTTGCCTCAACCTCACGGGATCAAGCCTTATATTAGTTTATGGACATCTTCACCAGCTGCCGGAGAAGTGTCAAGGCAATATGGGCTCGGCCTAAATCTTTTGACTGGTACAGAAACTCGTTCTCAAGTTTTCCGCTTGCAGTTCTGAGAGGCGATGGTGGCATCTATACACTTCAAGGTGTTCAGGCTGGCCTCTGTCATTTGCTCTACGTTGTCTTCTACACTTAAGGTGCATTGATCTTCTTGTTGGTAGTTGTTTTCTTTCAGATTCTCTTAACTTGGTGCATACTTTCACCAATTGTCTGTGAATGTCATACTGGTATCTTAGTTAAAGATTGTGCTTCAAATCAAATTCCAGGTGTTGGTGACAGCATTGTGGTTCTTGCAATATTTAGTTTTGGTATTGATTGTGATCTTCTCTTTCACACTTGTGGTTATTGCTCACTGGTTGGCAGCACAAGGAAGGCTGAGCTTGTCATCAATGCTTACAACATCAGTTCTTAAACAGCAGGCTGTAAGTGACTAATTTTTCCATTCTACTTTAGTCACTTAACCACACCTCCGACCACTTGGAGGAGTCTCATTCACAACCTCCATAAGTCCCATTCAGGACTTGGGGCTTGCTAGCCCCGAGAATGGCATCCATGCCACTCAACCTTTGCACTTGGTCCAAGTGCTCCACGTGTCCGATCCCATGACTGACACCCAAAGGTACCACTGACATCTCGGCCCGTTACGCTAAGGCCATGCCCATTCACCTTTGCTGCGCAAATGGTCCAATACCACTTGCATCACCATCCCGTCTCTCCAAGACTGGGCCATCTGTCTACGAGGGGTCATCCTGGATCCACTACTTAGCATCCTTAGGATGCCCACAGACATGGGGAATCGCCTTCCCCAAAGTCCCTTTGTCAGTTCCTACCAAGTCCCTTTCTGCCCCTAGCCATGTTTGCCAACACTGCCACTGGATCGAGGCCCACAGGCCCGACCACTAAGTCCCACGGTCCTCTGGGACTTCCTCACCACACGACTGTGTCCTTGGTCACTACCCCAGAGGACTGCTCCTCTTCCTTTCCACAGTCTGGGCCTTTGGGACGACATTTCGGAACACCGTGGCCTTACGCGAGCCACCTGGGTACTCTCCCCACCTATCGCCTTTAGGTGCTCTAGCCATGGGCTTAGAGCGAGGTTCCGTTGAGCCACGCCTGGTATCCAAGTAGGTAGTGCCACCCACACTTGGACTGGGAGCATCGGCCAGTCGATCTCCCGGGGGAACTAGAGCCGGCTCTTGAACACTTCACCAAGCTACCCCGCTTGTCGGTCCGTATTCACTCTAGTCTTGGACTTCCCAGTGGTCAATTCATCACCCAACACTGGGTCTGGCCTTCCTGGGCCAAACTGGCCTTTCCTGGCCAAACTGGCTTCACTGCAGTCCTCCCCCTACTATACTTTTGGGGCTCACCAAACCCCCCAGGGTCTGGGAGACGAACGCTTTGGGCTTTCACCCTCTCAGGCTCCGGACTCGGACTCGGACTCGGACTCAGACTCGGACTCGGACTCGGACTCGGACTCGGACTTGGGCTCGGGCTCGGTCTCGGCCTCGGCCTCGGTCTCAGTCTCGGCCCCGATCTCGGTCTCGGTCTCGGTCTCGGTCCCGGTCTCGGTCCCGGTCTCGGTCTCGACTTCGGACTCCATCTCGGACTCCATCTCGGGTCCATCTCGGACTCCATCTCGGACTCCATTTCGGGTCCATCTTGGGTCCACCTCGGACTCCATCTCGGACTCCATCTCGGACTCCATCTCGGGTCCATCTCGGACTCCACTTCGGACTCCAACTCGGGTCCATCTCGGGTCCACCTCGGACTCCAACTCGGACTCCATCTCGGACTCCATCTCGGGTCCATCTCGGACTCCATCTCGGACTCCATTTCGGGTCCATCTCGGGTCCACCTCGGACTCCAACTCGGACTCCATCTCGGGTCCATCTCGGACTCCACTTCGGACTCCAACTCGGGTCCATCTCGGACTCCACTTCGGACTCCAACTCGGGTCCATCTCGGGTCCACCTCGGACTCCAACTCGGACTCCATCTCGGACTCCATCTCGGGTCCATCTCGGACTCCATCTCGGACTCCATCTCGGGTCCATCTCGGGTCCACCTCGGGCTCCAACTCGGACTCCATCTCGGGTCCATCTCGGACTCCACTTCGGACTCCAACTCGGGTCCATCTCGGACTCCACTTCGGACTCCAACTCGGGTCCATCTCGGACTCCACTTCGGACTCCAAGTCGAGTCCATCTCGGACACTCCCACGTGTCATGTGTTGGTCCTTTTTGGGTCCCCTTTTTGGAGCCTCGCCTTTTGCTCGCTTCGTGCTCGTTCCTCGAACACTTCGTTGGGAGTTCCACTCCCGCTCTTGACTTTTCAAGTCGGAGCTTTTGGTCCAAACGTGTTACGCTCGTTTGGCTCTCGCTTCGGCCACTACCATGTGGTGCCCTTCCAGCTCCACTTTGGGGCCTAGGGATTTTGTGTCTCACACAGGCAAGCTACCAAGGTACAACAGCTGAGCGACCTCAGCTGCTGCAGTCAGTAATTTTAAGGGTAAAGGCTGGTGTAAGCCATGGAAAAAGAAACAAACTTCTGCTTTCTACTATAATAGTATAGGACATAAATGTAAATCATTAGCCACAGAAACGTTTCCAAATCCTATCTTTGTAACGTGAAACGGTTGACTGATTGGCTGTCGGTGGAAGGAGGGGGGGGGAGGGGGGGTGTGTGGGGGGCGGGGGCAGTACCTGGAGCTTCTATATGGATCCAAGTTCTGGAGGTACCTGGAGCCTAAGATGGAAGTATAGATTGCATGCATTTTATGGAGCTGTGACGAGCTCACATATGATTCAGGAGCTAGAGGAGTTGGAGCAGTGGAAGTGCGAGTTGAGGTAAATGTAAACTGACATGTTTAGAGCTTCAAGCTTATTTTATAAATACAAGTCTCAGAGCACATTAATGAGGAACTAGACCTCTCCCTTGTGGAGCCAGAGCTTACCACTAAGGAGCTGAAGTGCACCCTTGAAGTCCCACAGCCAAAGTTGGATTAGGTAAATCTAGATTGCATGCATTTCATGGAGATGTAGTGAGTTCACATGTGATTTAGGAGTTACAGGAGTTGAAATAGGAGAAGCATAAGTTGGAGGCAAATGTAAATTGAAATTCTTGGAGCTCAGAGCTTATTTTATGTATCCAAGTCTTGGAGCATATTATTAAGGTCCCGGAGCCAAAGCTAGATGAGGTAAATGGTAAATTATGTTTTATGGAGCTCTAGTGAGTTTGACATAGAATTCCAGGTCTGTGGCCAGTCTGAGCCAGAGGGCTGGAAGAGCAGCAGCAGCTCTAGCTCCAGCTCAAGTACTTACAAAGTCTTGTGGACAATTTGGGTGAGTTTTTTGTGTTATTCTACAAGGCAATCTATTTAGAATCAAAGAGTTATGCTTATATCTCTTTTGTCTTCTACACTGAAAACTCCTCATGGGAGGAAGTGCAAAAGCTACAGTCATGTATTTTCATCTGTGCCTTACGTTTACATAAAAAATGTTAAAATATGACCGAGATGGCAAATATGATAATCAACATGCATGGACAAAGCCTCTAGCACAAGGTAATAGTACAAAATTTTAAACTCTTGAATCAAAGCCATTGTGCAAAAACCTTGGTTGAGGAGCGTAAATGCAGCTTGGAAAATTAGCGGAGTTGAATCTGAAAGTTCTTAAGACACTTGAAAAGCTTATTGACTTCTTTAAGGCACAAGCAATTGACTCTGATATCTATAACCTCTTTACAAGACCTCCTTTTTTAATTAATTGTTCGCATGAACAAGAATTTCTCAAATGATTTTGGCATCGAGCAGTGTAGAACCCTTTCAGACCTTTAGTTACAGTATGGTACTCATTTTATGTAGCTAAGAAATAATATTTAGAACAACTCTTTGACAATGTAAGTAAGTCCAAATAAATTTTGAGATTTTAAATACTTTTTCTTTCCTTTGTTGTGAAGGAAAGATTAAAAGTTAAGATCTCAAATTTACTTGAGCTTATTTACATTTTCAAAGAGTTATTACAAGTGTAATACATGATGCAACATAAACTTCCTACTGCTCTTGGAACCATTTGAGTCATTTTGTGTTGATTAGAGTGTTGTTCTTTTCTGTAGTAAAGAAGTCTATAGATATCAAGTTGGTTGTCTCTGCTTAAAAAACAATATGTTTATTCATAAACTATGTATAATGTTATAATTACTTTATAATTGACATAAAAAAGTGGATATTAACCAATAAATAATCTTACTACCCAAAAACCAGTATTAATCCTCTTAAAAAGCCCATCTAGTTTAATTAATCCAATCCACAACCACTTAATTATTACAACTTCGACATAATGATAGAAACAACTATCACATCATCACTCCATCCTATCACACTTTCATCTCATTCATCCCCAAAAACATAGCTGACATAAGGTTTTAGGTGTTCAAGTTTTGGCTCATACTTCCTCTTTATTTCAATTATTTACTATTGTCAAACCTGAAAACTTTATATCATCCTTTGTCTTTTTTAAAAAATATTTTCAATTTACCAGATAAAAAATTTACACCAGACAGCATATCAGACAAAAGTTGGAGAGTTCTGGCACCCACCATGGTTTAAGTTGATTGATTGATTGACTTAGAGAGAGAGAGAGAGTATTACATTAATAGGGCAAAGCATTTTTGAGTTGCACCATACCTTTGCAACGAAGTTCAATGCGACCCAGGTTTGTGATGTGATCAAATCATTTAACTTTCTAAGTGCTCAGACATGACTGAAGACGGAATCGAGAAGCAAACTATTTCGTTGGGTAAGAGCACATGTTTACCCATTGAACACCTTACTATTGGTATACTGAACAGGAAGATATGGGCAAGAGGAAGTGGCTAGACTTGTAAAGATCATAGCCTTTGCACTTTTCTAAGAGTGCCTGATCATGCAGGTAGGCAAGCAAGTTCTCAAGAGAGAAATTTTACAATTTTGAAATAATCTTTACATCCATCTCACTCAATTCGGTGTTGCAATTTGTACTGACTTTTTGAGTGCTTGCAATAGACTCTGCATGATGGCTGGCTCACCAGGAGGGACAGAGTTTTTGAGTTTGCCACTCCTTTGCGCCAGGAAGAAAGGCTGTGTCGATTCACTACTTGGTGGCAGCACCAGCACATCAATGTAAACCAGATCCTCGACAACTCCTTCATTGATTCGTATGTATGCCAATCTTACTCCATTTTTCACTTTGTCCACCTGCATTTAACATTTCCAATTCTCCTTTTATTGGTGTAGTAGATTCAAGTTCTTGAGGGATTCTACCTTGAGAGGGAGCTCCAGAGTGAAGTTCGCGTTTTGCATGAGGCTGTTGCCCCACTGAAACAGTAGAAGGTTATCTTTCTTTCTTACAACTTCAAAGTAGAGATTCACTTACTTGAAACATCAAGTCCTCGAGGAGCTTCACATCCACATTAGCAGGAAGCTTGGCAGTCCCCAGAGAGATTGGCTCACCTTCATCTTCCTGGACAATAGAACTCCCAGCTCCACTCACAGCCAGCTCTCGACATTTCGTTGATTTGCTCGCTTGCTTGATGGAGATTGATCCAGTGTTGCTGGAAAACGCAGGCAAGCTCCTCCTGGGAGGAAAAATCCCACTGCCACAACCGGTGGTGCCGCTGCTGGAATGTGGATTGAGAGACAATGCGCTGGAGACATGGCTTGGACAACGAGCCATTCTTCTGGGAGCTTTAATATCTTCAGGGTATATGCCATTTGGCTTAAGCTTACGTGGTAGTTACGTGGAGCATGTGCACTGCACGTGGCTTACCTTTTTTGCCTATGTGTCGTCTACGTGTTAGGACACGTGTCGCATCGCATTTGTATTTCAGTCATTCTTTACGGCTATGGCAGCAGCTCTAAGCGCGGCCTTGTCTTTCCCTTGCTCCAGAGCTTTTCAGGGTTGTGGCGACTTTGAGCGCTTGGCTAGTAGACCCGGCGCCGCGAGGCCTTTGCGCACCAAGGGGCTCCGAGCTATGGCGCAGGATCGCCAGGCATCATCGCCAGCAGTGGTGGAGAAATTGGGCATCAAGGTCGAGAAGGAGCCCTCGGATGCGAGACTGAGGGAGCTGGGCGTCAAGACCTGGCCAAAGTAAGTCGATTCCTCTCGCCGTTTTGATCGATGGAGTGATTGATCGAAGGATGGAACTCCAGGTGGGGCTGCGCGCCCAGCAAATTCCCATGGACATACGATGCCAGGGAGACGTGCTATCTCCTGGAGGGCAGGGTGAAGGTGTATCCGGAGGGATCCAGCGACGAATTCGTGGAGATTGGCGCTGGGGATTTGGTGGTCTTCCCAAAAGGGATGAGCTGTACGTGGGACGTGGCTGCCACGGTGGACAAGCACTACAAATTCGATTAAAAGTAGCTTTTAATCTCGGCCGTCACAAAATAAATATTTACAAAGCATTTTCTTGGTAACCATGAACTTGATGATCTGGTGTGGTTGCCTTAACTCTAACCAATATCATGTCATGCACCAAAAGCTTAAAGGAGAGCTCGATAATCAACGAAGTATAAATTGTAACAGATTTAACACACACAGACTCGTATTCGAGCTTATCTATGCTCGGCCTTCCTGCAAGGAAAGCATGAGCAATTACAACTCTCAATCTTAGCCAGAAGCTTTAGCATTTCCGATTACTGTGAAGCGAAGAAAGTATCAAAGGCTGCTGACGAGAACCTGCTTAGGAAGAGACGACCATCCCGGGCTTAGGATAAACATCTCGGCACCATGAGGGGCCACGCTAACCACAATGCTTTCGTTGTAAACACCACTCCAGTACTCGTGCTGCAAGGCAGTAAGAAGTGGTGATACTCATCAAGCTTGAAAATTACCTTCCACAAGTCTCGTATTGTCACTCTAGTGGATGGATGCAATGAGATCTCTTGCCATGACACCTCGATATCGGCATCCTCCTCGCACCTGTTCCAGATCACTACCGCTGTTCGCTTAAGAGAGAGTGGACCGGCCCAGATCTGGCAGAAACTACGAGAATTGAGGAGTGATAATCCAAGACAAACAAAGATTACCTCGTGGCATTCTTCAGGTCCTTTCTTACAAACTTTTCTCCCTTGAATTCCCAATGAATCTAAAGACAGGGCTCTTATAAAAACAAACAGGCATCTGAATCAAAACAAACAGACTACCTTGATTTACACTTATAACCTCCTTGTTGGTAATGATCTCTAGCGTGTCATTGCTCATATCTCGGAGATCACAGCCGAGAATCAATGGTGCCTGCGAGCTAAACAATCTCAGTGACTGGAAATAAACAAGTAAGTGAAACCTTCATCAATGCCCATATGCTGAAGTGTGAGCGATATTCGTCAATGGTCATTCCGCCGTTTCCAACTTCAAGCATGTCTGGATCTGCAAGTTACGCAGAATTCGTGAAAAGAAAAGTGGGAAACGCGGGAAATGAAATCACCATTCCAGCCGCCGGGTCCAGCAAACGAAGCCCAGCGATCATTTAAATCGGCAATAGTTGTCATGCTGTGCAAAGATCAGAGCTGTGAAACAAGGAAAGAGAATACCTTTTCCAGGTATCAGTGATGTCACCGGTAGTACGCCAGCTATTTCCAACGTCAGGCGCCCATTCTGCGGGGTCGTCGACGCCCCTGCAAAAAGATAAGCGTAAACAAAACACGAAAAGAAGGAAGAGAACGAGAAAAACTTCCACCATTCGCAGATGGAGAAGAATATCTTACGACCCGTCTTGGCGAGAGCTTCCTGCATGATTGGATACCTGATACAGAAAATGAACAAGAGAAACCAAGAATTCAAAAGAGTTCTTACCTCAACTCAGGCTTACTTCCATCTGTGAAGCAGTTATCATACTTGAGATAATCGATTCCCTAAAGAAAACAAACGCTTAAAACGAAAAACTTGTGCTCAAGCTTACCCATGAGGCGAAGGTTTCAGCGTCTTGTTCCTCGTATCCAAGAGATCCAGGCTGCTTCTCACACGTAAAGTACCTTGAACAAGTAACAAAGAAAATTAATGCATCGACCAGTTCAGCAGCTTACCCGGCGTCGGAATAAATCCCAAACTTGAGACCTTTCTCGTGAACAAAATCCGCCAGGGCCTTGATGCCAGATGGGAAAGTTGCTGCTCGAGCAGTAAGTTCGCCCTGAGAAACAAAATGTCGCGTTACAATTCACTGACCATTGCCCGGCCGTGTACACTCAAAACAGATTTACTTCAGAGCCTCGCTTCATCTCGGCCCAGCAATCGTCTGCCAGAAACCAGAAAACAAGCCTGTGATCAAACAACCAAAGAAAAAAAATGGAACAAAAATAACTTACCAACATTCAAGTAATTGTATCCCAATGCAGCCAGGCCAGTCGAGACCAGCGCCTCGGCTGGATGCGTAGGAGGTGAGCTTGGAAAAATCGCAACGAAAACACATACCAGTTTCTTTGACGGTCAATTCATCGATGTTGCATCCGAAATGGTTCCAGCTATTCCATCTGTGCAAATACATCACATTCTTTGCGTCTAAAGACAATCCTGCGCTTACCCCATTGGCGGCGTCTTGCCGAGACCATTGTGGAGCGTGAGCGGCGATAGAATCAGGCGCGAGCAAACGGCGGGATGGATGAGTAAAATCACCAATGGAGCGAGCGCCCAGACCATCGCTGCCATCGCCATCGTGAGAGGGGGAAATAATTCAAAAGGAGCGAGCCCTAAAGAAGCTTCTTTATTGTCACATTCGAGCTTATCCCTCTAGAAATTTTTGGACTATGAAAGATACTTTTAGAGGATCTATTTCGCATATTCTTATCAACGTTTATACTTGAATTACAAATATTATATACTAGTATTGCCCAGCAAATGCTGGGTGATTTTATATAAAAAATTTTGCTCTTGTGAATTTGATATTATAAATATATGAGTAAGAATAAGTATTTATTAATACAAAAAATTAGATGGAAATATGAACATATTTAGAACAATACTTGACACAGAAAAAAGTAAAAATGGAATTTTTAATATTAATTAAATGATACATTAAGATTTTATCAAACAAAAGTAAGAGAATATTGACTAACAATAATCATTAATAATTTATTTCAGTTAAAAAAATAATTACTAAGAAAATGTATAAACATATATTATATATAAGTAAATTCAAATCTTATATTCCATAGTATTAATATATTTGTACTTAGAAAAAATATTTTAAAATAATACTGTTGTGAGATCCAAGTGTACGGCTACAATGCCATATAATAATATTAGCATAATGGGATTTTGGTAGCTGTTAAATTGGTTTTAATTTGGACCATTTGCTCCCATATATAAACTAACGTTTTTGGGTTAATTAATATGTACATCTTCTGTATTCCTTTTTTATATTCCATACACTCACATTGGTGGAGGTGAGAGGCATTTTTTATTGTCCCTAAGGAATGTTTAGATTTAGGATTTTAGTTTAAATCTAGCTTTTGCATTGTCTAGATTTAGCTTTTTCCGTTTTTTTTTCTTTTGTTTTTTCCTTTGTTTAAATTTAGCTTTTCCATTGTCTAGATCTCTTTTCTTTCTTTTTATTTTTTCCTTTTCATTCATCTTCATGGCAAAATAACAATCTCCTCCTCCTTTGACTCTAGAGTAGTAGTTGGTGCAATTATTTAATGCTATGCGATTGCAGTTAAACAACCAAACTCAATTGATGGCAGCATTCACGGCATATGGTATAGCTCCTCCTGCTTTTGGTGCCAATCCTTGCATTTGGTCAAAGTTCTTTCATAAGAATCCTAGGGATGATGTGTATTATTGATTCGATCATTTCATGGTGATTGCCACATATAATTCTTGGGATGATGCTGTTATAAGACGTCGTCTCTTCCACTTCTTGCTACACGTCCTTCAGCTCTACTTCATATGGGAGATGGTCCTATTCCAATAGAGGTTGATGCTGTTGCTGCTCGAGATTAAAGATAAAGGTGAGGACGTGATTGTGGCCGTGATGTTCATTGCTGAGCGTATGATAAAGTTAATCACACTTATCAGCATTATTGACGTTTTCTAAATTGGTGGCCTCCATTTCCTGGGTGGAGACCTTGGCGTCAATAATGTCTTATTAGTGTTGTTGCGAGAGATGCACCTGAGATGCATTTAGGAAATGATGAGTCATGCAAGTAACAAAGGGACCTTGCGTAAATAAGTCAGTGACCTCTCTATTTTTTTTTCGGGAGTATTATCAAGGGGTTCACTTGGCACTAGTTCATCTAGTGTTTACTTTCTAAGCTCGTTTTTATAACAAGAGGTCTCTTATTATTCTCTTTGTGTTAGTTGATACAAATTTGAGTTTATCTTCTATTACTCAACTTGATGCCATATATTGCCGTCTACATTTGTGTTGTGCAACAAAGTCAATTTTCATTCTTTATGGCAACGGCCATACACATACATATGTATGGGATGAGGTGGACTTAGTTGTATATGTAGGTGATCTTGAGCTTGGATTGCAATTATTGCGGGTGGTGCCGAATTAAGCTTTTGACTTTATTCTTGGTATAGATTAGTTGTAGCACAATGATGCCAAATGTGACCTTCAAACTTCTCCTTCTTGTCTCATACTTCTTTATATTTCATCCATTCCTTTTTTTTTTGTACCTCTTTGTCCCTCTGCTTCTACCTTTGCTTCCATTACTTTTGTTTCACCATTACTTCCTCTTATATTTCCATCTTGTTCCATTTTTCCCTTTTTTGATCCCTTTGATAGTCTTTGTGTTGCAATAGTTAACTAACTAATGAAGGAGTATGCCAATTTAACCTATCATCTGAGGTGAAGATTGCCACACGTCATTTGATTCTAACTGGGGATGTTTGTCTAATCAAGGTTCCTGTTCGTCATCAGTCACCCAAAAAGATCATATGCAAACATAAAGAAGATGTTGGAAAAGGGTGTTATTCAAAAGTTGTGGAGTCCTTAGGCATGTGAACTTTATCTTGTGACAAAGCCTAATGGGAGTATTCATTTTTGCATCGATTATAAGATCCTGGATGTGTACCTTCTTCCTCACACTTTTGATCTCTTGGATTATCCAGGGAAAAGTTGGTTCACCAAGTTAAATCTTGTTTCTAGGTACTGGCAAGTATCAATGCCTGAAAATGATATACCTAAGACTGTTTTTCATATACTATTTAGTTTGTACGAGTTCTTGGTGATGCCGTTTGGTTTGAACAATTGTCTAGTGACTTTTTCATCTGGTCTACAAACTGTGAGTAGGTGTTCATGGATTTCAAAGAGCTTTTGATGACTCCTCCGGTTTTGGCGTATCCTGACTACACTTGACCTTTTATTTTGCGTGTGGATGCTTTTGATATTGGTTTTAGAGGTGTGTTGATGCAAGAGAGCTTGAGTGTGCCTAATCAATGCCATCCTATTGTATATATAAGTTGTACATTACAACTAGCAAAGGTGAACTACTCCACGACAGAGAAAGAGTGTTTAACAGCAATCTAGGGTTTCAAGAAACTTCATGCATATCTCCATGGTTCTCAGATGTTATTGGGAGGTGATTATATTGCCGTTACTTCATCATTAAAGTGAAAGAACTTGGTTGGTCGTATTGCTTAGTGGGTTTTTAAGCTTTAGATATATGATTCTGATGTTATTCATCACCTGGAAAGTTCTATAACTAATGTTGATGCCCTTTCTGAACTCCTCTTCCTTCTTTGTTCTTTTCTCACGTTTTTAACAAACCTATTATTCCAGCAAATATGGATTTTCTATATGAGGATTCTGTATCATTAGCAGTTGTTATACTTGATTTTCAATGTCCACAAGGTGTAGAGCAGGATTTACCTTCTTTTGATGAGGTTCGCAAGGCTCAAAAGATTGAGTCGTGGATTCAAAGGCTTCAAGATGGATTTGAGAATCTTGCATCACTAACTAATGACTTACCATTCTAGCATTTACATTTTTAATATTGCCTTGAAAATAGCCTTCATTATTTTGTAAGGATAGTTTTTAATAATCATTACAGCTGGTGGTGCCTTCAATCTTTGTTCCCCGGTTTCTCTATACCTACCATGATTCTTTTGTTTTAGGTGGGTATATGGGACATTGTCATATAATTGAGAAGATGCACAGGTTTTTCTATTAGTTGAAGATGTGACATAATGTTATCCAATATGTGTATAGCTACATCTGGAGCCAAACTCGTAATACTCCCCTTTGTGCTACGGAAGGACGGTTGGAGTCAATTGTAATTTCCTATCCATTTGAGTTGGTAGCATTTGATCTTATAAGAACTTTTCTATGATTAACTATTATGTTATTATTGATTCTAATTATTTAATTTGCTAGGTGGAAGTTGGTGCTTTTGCTAGCACCTCTACAACTATTGTTAAATACTTCCTCCTCAATTGAGTGATGTTTTAACATTTTTGTCCATCAATTGAGGTGTTTTAACATTTTTGTCCAGAGCAGATTCTTTTATATAATGGTCCTGTGTTTATGGCTGAGGCACTTCTTGATTGGGGATATACCACACTTTCACAAATACTTATCATCCATAGTCAGACAGTTTGGTGGAATGGCTTATTCAAACATTCAAAGGGATGATCACAAAATACGTGCATTTGGATTATGATGGTTATTTGCTGTCTTTTCAGTATGCATATATCATAGGGGTGTAGAGTTCTATTGATGCTTCACCATATAAGCTCCTATATGGTCATGATCCAATATTACTAATGGAGTTGGGTTTACTTATGCGATTGTTACGACTTGTCGATGTTAAGTCACGGGATTAGTATTTGATGAACATTCTTTCACTTGTCCAAGTTGAATCTGCCGAACACTTAAGTTGTGTACAAGTGGGACAACAACAGTGCTACAACTCTCATCATCATCCACCTATAAAGTACAAAGTGGATGACTTGGTGTTAATTTGTTTTCCCCATCTTAAGGTATGTGGTTTATCTAAGAGGCTCCTTGCTCAGTGGAAAGGACCGTATCAGGTGTTATGGCAAGTTGGACCACAAGTTTATGAGGTTCGGCATAACATCTAACAAGCCAATCTTCCAAAAATTATACATGTGTAGTAGTTAAAACACTTCATATAAAGGGATCAAGAACAATTAGTATCACCTACAGATCCACTAATATTTCCTTTTGATGTTCCTCCAGATCCCGGGCCATTTACGAAAGAACCATAATGGTCTTCCATTATTCCAAGAGTGATGTGAGGTCCAAGTGTATGGCTATGATGCCATATATCAATATTAGCATAGTGGGATTTTGGTAGCTGTTAGATTAATTTTAATTTGGACCACTCACTCATGTATATAAGTTAGGGTTTTAAGGCTAATTGATATGCACATTTTCTATAGTCCCTTTCTATATTCCATGCACTCACACTATTAAGTTGTTTAATTTGTTTTTATTAATAATTAGAGCTTTAATCATGCTTATAGCAAATTCAAATTTAATCAATTGAGTGGTAATATCCTTAATATACCATCACCTAGTGTTGGGTTCCATATGTTTAATGATATCTAGACATAAACAAGCCATCATTAGGATGTCTCCATATAACAGACAAGTAAACATCTTCAGACTTATTGTACCTAAAACTTTTTATAACTAATTCTTTATAAACCAAGTAAAAATCTTCATTAGCAATAGCATGTTCCTAGAGCAAGAATTACATGAATCCTGGTGGTAATCTCTTGG